AATGCAGCCTGTGGTTGAGGTCCAGAAATTTCCAAGCATGTCTCTGGACTGCTGGACCTCACTCCCAGCCCTAAATAAGTCAAAGGGCCGTGAGAATGTGTTCTTCCATAAAATGCACGCATGCTCTGATCAATGGCAGAAGAATGCATTGCTTTTAAAACTGTGCATTGTTTACGTGTGCATCTGCAAAAAATACATTCATATATGCACGGTTTTTAATCAAACAGAAAGAAACAAAGCTCACAATGTGACATGGAGGGGAGTGGGGATGGGATTGAGGCGAGACCAGGGGAACCTCAGGGGGGCTCAATTCTGATGTTTCGCGCATCCCCTCCAGTCACATGGGTGGCAAAAGCAGAGCATTGACTCACACTGCTCTTGTAAGGGCTGCAACTAACTCATGCATTTGGATGCCTGAAAGCACTCAGTAAATGTTAGTATTATCATCACCAGCTATGAACTGGGGAAAGTCCTCTTGGAAGTTTTCACCCCTCCCTGCCCCACATGTTCGAGATCTCAGGAAACAATAATTTCCCGTGTCTTGGCATCTCCTCTGAAAAATAAAAATACTTTTGCCATGGCAAAAAGGAAACCGGAAACCCAGGTCTGAGGAGGGCATCCCGGCTGCAGTTCCCACTCCTCCCAACATCTCCCAGCATGCATTGCCCAGGCACAGACCATATGGAAAAAAGACTTCCCGGGCCAATTCTCAAGTAGGCAGAAGGGTGTTTAGCTGGGAAGGAGCCTCTCTCATTAAGGGGCTTTCACATTTATTGCGGGCGAGATAATGAAAGAAAGTCATTTGGACAACTTTTATTGCTGCTGTTCTAACATTTCCCTGAAGCAGAGAGATAAAAGTCAGTGGGTGATGTCCGCATGAAGGGGGCTACCTTCCCCCATAACCGACAGGCACAGCCGTCAAAGATTTTCTGGCACTGCGGCTGCCAGGTGGAGGGAGAGAGGGGGGTCGCCGAGAAGCTGACAGATCTGCCAAAACCGATGGTCGGTGGGACTGGGGCGGCAGTGAGGGCTTCCACAACTACCCAGATCCAGAAAGTGAAGAGGTGAGCAGGGAGAGCGAGCACGGATCAGAACATCCCGTGCGTAAGGATGACCGTTGCAACTCACATGGAGGAACAGTGCGCAGAGCTTGATTCATGCTGCAAGAATGGTTCTGGCAACCACATTTCTGGTTCTGACATCCTCACCTTGCGCTTTGCTCAGAGTGGTGCTTGTGGTTCAGCCTCACCTGGAGCACTGCATCCAGTTCTGGGCACCACAGTTTAAGAAAGATGCAGAGAAGCTGGAAAAGGTCCAGAGGAGGGCAACAAAGATGATCGGGGACTGGAAACTGAGTCCTGTGAGGAGAGATGAAAAGAGCCGGGCACATTAAGACTGATGGAAGAGAAATACTAGAAGGACCCGCCAGAGGAAGCAGGGGGATCTTTTGGATCATCCCAGATTGCAAGGCGCAGAATAAGGGGCTGACATTTCAGGGAGCCGGATTCCAGCTAGATATCGGGAACCATTTCCTGCGAGAGCAGTATGACAATGGAACCGTCGGTCAAGGGAGGTGGTGGGCTCTCCCACACCGGAGGCATTCAAGATGCTATCTGGACAGCCGTCTGAGAGCGATGGTTTAAATGGGAGCCCAGCACTGAGCAGGAGCTGGACCCGATGGCCTTCTGGCTCCTCTCAGCTGAACTGTTCTATGATTCTATGATTTATCCGTTATAGAGATATTTTTATTAGAATATTTGTTACCAACATTAATCTTACATAGAACAGACCTTCTGAAATGAATTAAACTTAAGTCCAAACTACCTTAAGTTCCACCCATTTCAATGGGTCTACTTTACGTAGGACGAACATCCAACACTACTACCCAATGTTCTTTCCTAGATTTAGGAACTGAGTGTAGGCAAAGAAGTACTGAAAAAGAACACACTAGTAAATTGGAACAATCCAAGGACAGCTGCTCATCTCCGTCTTGGAAACTGCCACATTTTCCTAATATTCTATATGCAGTTGGCTTCCTTTCATGATACTAATGGAGTTACAAAAATGACATATTTCTACAGGAAGATAAAGCACTTTTTTTTCTAGATTTGTTTTTTAATTTGGGAAATTTAAATTTTCTGAGCCACATCACTGATCCTTAGAGTTATCTGACAGGCCACTGTGGGAAGTAGGACTACCTGGACCCGTGGTCGGAGTCAGCAGGACTCTTATTTTCCCATCATGTTCCATTTTCCAAAGAAGTGATGCGAGGAGCTGATGGAAGCCAAGCAGCATCTGTTGAAGATAATTTGCCTGCTATGCAGTTGTCAGGGGTCTGGAAGGGCTGTTAACCCCTTTTTTCCGAGGAGGAATGGGGTGCTGGTGACACAGGGAACTGGGTGGGCAGGAAGAGGATGCTCTTTCAAGCCTTGGGTGCAGCTTGTTTAAAATTTGGGAGCTGCCAAAGGGCCCCAGCAGCCAGGGTGCTCCTGAGAACCAAAGGGAGAGGAAAAAGGGTCTGGGAATGGAGACTGCTGTTCACAGCTGCTGAAACAAATCTGAAAAACCGTACATACAAGAGGGCTGAACATAGCTGTTGAACAGGGAATCAGAAAAAGTCTGTGCCAGGTTTCTAAGTGAGCAATAATGTTTAATTTGAAATGTTTGGTTTGGACTGCATCCTTAGTCTCGGGAGAGTTTCTTTTTCACAGCAGTTTCTTTAATTCAGAAGCAAAGCAAGAGACGTGAGTCACACACAAGGGCTGCTCAGTCCTCCCTCTCCCAGATTTCTTTCTTCAGCCAAATCAAGTGGGAGAGCTTTCTTGGGCTGTGGTGGAAGGGCCCTCCTCCCCCACCCATGAAAGATTCTAGCTGCATATTCATTTGTTCATTCATCCATTTCCTCTCAATATTTTTTCTGCTCTTGCATTTCTCTTGCAATGAAGCAACATGTGAGACTGGACCCGAAGCCTGTCTTGTGGGCTCCATCTTCCAAATTGCTCCCTTTCTACACACCTTCCATAATATCTCTGCTGGTCCCTGTTGTGGTGGGCCTCCACCTCTTCAGGTGACCTGTGTATAAATGTGGACGAAGTGGTCCAACGGCCTTTCCTACTTCAAAAGGCAGCAGAATTTTTGAATGTTACGCTACATGAAAATCTCCCTGCAAGTAGAAAGGCAGAACTCAAGGCAGAATGCCGGGCGGGCACCATTCTCCTTGGTTTGCTAAATTTCTATTTGCAAGGAGTCCTTCTCTTTAAAAATGTTGTTGCCATGGCCATCAAGTTGTCTCCTACTTACGGTAACCCTATTAATGAGCCTCTTCCAAAATATCCTGTCCTGGACAGCCCTGCTCAGTTCTTACAAATGCAAGGCTGCAGGTGGTTGCAGTCCAGCCATCTTCCGTTTCTTTCTCTTTAAGCGTCCTTAATTTTTACTTAGCTCAGTACTAAAGAGAAATACCCCTCAGCTGTCACTGAATGTAGGAACATAGAGAAAAGCCAGGAAGGATCTCACCAAGGTCCAGCTAATCCACCAGTCTGTTCGCCCAGCAGCCAAACAGCTGCCCACATGACTGCAGCCCTGCCCATGTTCCCCAGCAACCCATGTGCATAAACCAACTGCTTCTGTTTCTGGCAGTTTCCAGCAAGACTAGGAGCCATCAGTAGCCTTAACCTCCAGGAATCTGTCCAGTCCCTTGGAGAGCCTGTTAAAAGAGGGAGGTGTGTGTGTGCAAGCACGCACGCACGCACAAAACACATAAGGTCCTCCTTTTACCAGATCACTGCTTTAAAAACCAGTCATTCTGAACCTAAGAAGAAGCTAGATCCATGGGCATCCATGTACCCATCCTTTGGTTCACACGGTAACCAACCTGCTGCCCACACGATCCCACAAGCAGGACAGGAGTACAACGCTGTCCTCCCACCCATGTTCCCCAGCAACTGGTGTCCCCAGGCACAATCTTGCAGGTAGCATCAAGCCATCGGGAGCAGGAGCTGTGGGTAGATGGATGCCCCTCCATCTACCCACAGGAGTTTATCCTGTCCGCTTTTCAAGAGGTGGCTATGGATGCATTTGGGACAAGAGAATTCCCAGGGTCTGATGCTGCGCAGGATGAAGAAGCCCTTCCTTTTCTCTGCCATGAATGTCCTGACTGGAGCTGACTGGAGCTGGGGGTCAGACTAGATGGCCCAGAAGACCCTTTCTGACTCACTCTGTTTCTGTTTCTTCTAGGATAAGCCTTTTTGGGGCTGCACTATTATGGGAGAGGTAGAAAAAGGTCTCCCATGATGCCACACTTTGTGCATCTCTGTTGTGTGTCTCCCACCCCATGCTTGCCATTTTTCTAAGCTAAAATATCTCAGTTGTTTTAACATTCCTCCTAAGAGAGCTGTCACAGGCCTTCCACCATTTTGAGGCCTAGGAACATTTAGACTGAACAAGAGGCCTACAACTCCCAGGACGCCCTAGGGCATCCTGGGAGTTGTAGGCCTCTTGTTCAGGCTAAGCTTGCCTCGGATTACGCCCTTATTTGCCCCTTTCTGCACCATGAAGACACTCCAGGGATTTGTCTAGCGCGCTAAAGCCTTGGTTACATCCCGGGGCACAATCCCTGCCATCGATCAGTTTATTCCCCTCTTGAGGAGGGGGCGTTCCTAGTATGCTAAAAGGGAGAATTGCACGCACTTCTGTCTCTTCATGCATTTCTTGGTGTTTATGGCACAAAAGAAGCCATTGAATGGCTGCTTTGGGGGTGGGTGGGCGGAGAGGGTCTCTGACAGGCTGAACTACACCTCCCAAGAGGCCCCGCGAGCCGCCGGCACGTCCTTCTGCCAGAAGGCGGACGACTGCATTTCCCGGCGGGCCATGCGCGGGCGCGCCCGCGTTGCCTGGCAACGGCCTGTACACAAGATGGCGCCGTCCCAGCGGCGCCTTTTCCCCTGAGGCCCCTCAGGGAGAGGGCGAGCAAGCCGCAAGCCCCGGCCCCCCAGGCCGCCATGCACCCCCGCAGCGGCTCCTCGATCAAGAACGGCTTCTTGGGCGGCCATGGCGGCGGCGAGCGCTTGCTGCGCTCCTGGGCGGCCGCGTCGTCCGTCACCTTCTCGCTCCTCCTCAACCGGCTCGATGAGCGGCTCCCGCGGGACCGCGACGCGGAGGCCCTGGAAGACCTGCTCAGCCAGGAGGAGGAGGAGTTCGTGGAGGACGAAGAGGAGTCCACCGAGTCCGAGCCGGAGCCCGAGCCCATGGAGGTGGGCAGCGCTGGCCGGCCCTGCTCGCGGCACCCGAGCGCCCCCGGCTCGCGGCCTCTGGGTGCAGGGCCGGCCCGGAGGGCGGAGGGCGGGGGCGGCCTTTTGTGGCGTCGCGCTACTCGGGCACCTACGGCAAAGGCCAGGGCTGCTTTAGGCGGGCGCCCCTGCGGGGAGCATTACGGGAGCCCCGAGTTTTGGCGTGGCATTTGCGCTGCTGGGACACTTACGGGGCAGTGCAGGGGTCGCGGTGGGGCAGCGCGCCTACGAGGGGCATTGCGGGAGCTCCGTGTTGGGAGCTGGGCTCGTCCTGTTCCGACACTTAGGGGAAAGTAGAGGGTTTCGCACCATGTATTTACTTATTTGGATGAATGAATGGATAGTTCCCCTAAAGGCCCAGTTGAGATCCCAAAGGGTTAATGGAGGCAGCTGACCCTGGTCCAACCAACCGCCCCCCCCCCCCCGCGGGACTAGACAAAGGCAGTCCAGATCTTCTGTGAATTACAGAAAGATCTGTGCCAAGAGCCATCATATTACTCAAAAGTAAGACCCCTGTCCCCCAGAGGGACTTTCCTCCAAGTAAGCATACTGAGGCTTGCAGCCAAAGTGGAGGCGGGGGGGCATGCAACTGTAATGTTTGTCCCAAACTGGAGCCCCCTCCAGAAGTGTTGGATTGCAGACCCCATCATTCCCAGCCAGCATTCCCTGCGTAATGCACACGTGCTGAGTTAGAGATCCTGCCATGGTGGGAAGGGGTGTTGCTGCTCTAGTGTGTGTGTTGGGAAAATGCATGTGACATTCCTCGTATAAGGGACAGAAAGTGCAGCTCTGTGCAGCCACGAAAAGAGGGGAGCAATTCATACATGCAGGAGATGTTAAGAGTGAATGAAAGCAACAGTCCCAGAGTAACAACACTTTGGTTGAACGGGCCCGCATTGTGCCTTTAACTGGTGAGCCATTGCAGGCCATATTCAGTGGGAGAGAGAAATGCCTAGTGTAATATATGGTAGTTTTGCATATGTTCCCTTTAGCGACACTTTTAACTGAGCACTTTTGCATTATAATGTTATTTCCACTTTAGACACCATCTCTAGAAGCGTCCGCCTTCTAACACTAGTACAGTTCTTATGGGGGTGGGGAGTTGGGTTGGTGTGATACCATCAGGCCGCATCCTAGAGACTTGAGAAGAGGCAGCAGATGGTTGCTTGAAGAAGGATTTAGCTGAGCAATTAGTGTCCTTGTGGCCAATTAGTTGCCTTGGAATGCTGTTGCTTTGGTGCTGCTGCAGCTGAACGGGATGTGGCCCAGTTCAGTGACTAGATGCAGGAGCCCCAGGGACCCCATGGCAGCCTTGTTTGTTGTGTAGCAATTTTGTGAACTGCTGAGATGGCTGCAGCTACGGGGCAGTTTGGAAATGTAATTAAAGCATAAACAATAGCATGTGTTATTAATTATGGCTTAATTAGGCTGGGTAAAGTAAAATACTTATTATGCATGATGTCAGCACTTTCTAGTCAGTGTGCTGTGACACCCCCCCCCCCCCCCGGTATTGCTTTGTTTTTCTCCCTGAGCTGTAGCCTCTCATTCCACACAAGGGACAAAGTTGCTGGGTGCCTGGCTGGAGAAAGCTGAGAGTTTGCTTCGCCAAGTGTAATTCTGCCGTGCGGGTATTTCTTTGGTTATTTGAGGGCTGCTGAACTGTGCCCTGCTTTCTTTCACTCAGGAGGAATTTGACGGCGTGCTGACAGAAGATGTCACTGCTGAAGCCCTGCACAGGCTGGGGCGTTCAGCCCCTGGCACAGAACACGTCTACCTTGACCTTACGCTGTCGGTGAGTTAACGTCAAACAGTGCAAGTTCCAACATCTGCTTTGTCCATGAACTCAGTGGGAGGCCTTAGATCAGTCCTCATTGTCTCTCGTCCACAACCTCGCAGGGTTGTTGTAATACAGAGAAGCACATTAAAAGCTCTTCTGAGTACTCGTTATGAATATTGCATGGACTTCACGACAGAGTTTGTGTATTTGCCGATCAACCTGGTTAGAACCTTGGTCACTGAAAAATGTGTCTCGTGTCCCTTGTGGCACCAGGCACTCTCTAAAGTCCTGGGAGACGGCCACTTAAAGACCAGGCAGCTCAGCACATTTGGCAGAGTTCCACCTCCCCATACCTGGGCGAAAGAAGGCAGGTATTGGGATATGCATACTAAACGCTCTTTCCCTCTTTTTTCCCCCCTGACAGAATCACAGTTTAATTAACATTCAAGTTCTCTGCAAATATGTTCATCTTGAGAAGCTGGATCTTTCCTTCAATAGCATTAATGGTATGTAGTCACCACTCAGGTAAAGGTATGGGGCTGTAAAGCCGAAGTTTCAGGTCGAAGGAAGAAGGCGGCAGGCCACGCGGCTCCCTTCCTGCCAGGGCAGTTCTCGGCTCTGCTTCCACCGTCCCGCAGCGTGCGGACTCCTCCAGGGTGCTGGGACAGCCGTGCGGATGCGCATGTGCCTGCACCGCTCCAGGCTTAGCGCCCGGAACATGAAGATTATCACCTAGGTTATTCTCTGGGCCCAAAGCCTGTGGAGAGCCGTGTTCACCCCCTTGGGTTCCTTGCGCAAGGAAGAAGGCAGGGCATAAATATCGTGTACCGGCCCCGCCACCAATGACGATGATAATAATGTTGATTCTGGAGCAGGAGCCAGCATGGACTAACAGGAACAAACTGATGCTGAGTCCGGCCTGCCGAGCCTGCTGCTGTCCATGCTGGCAGGCAGACACTCATCAGGTTTGCGGGCAGATCTCTCTCCTAGCGCTGTTGTCTGGAATAGTTCAGCAAAAGATGCCAGGGCTAAAGCAGGGGGTTGTGGCATGGGAAACCAGTGGTCTTCCCCGGGCAGTGGCCTGGTCAGGTGCTAAGCTATGTCGAATTATGTTACCTACTGTGAAGGATTATAATTTATTTACTATGCACATGTATATATCTCCCTTATTTGCCAAAAAGAACCCCATTAATTTATTTTATTTGTACCTCAGCTTACCAGCAAGAAAATGAGAACTCTCTTTTCCATAGACTCATGAACGTTACATTTATTGTAACACAAATGGTGTAAGGCAGAAAAAAAATACGGCGTATCCATGGTTACTAGTCCTCATGATGAGTACATGCCACCTCCAGTATCAGGGACAACATGCTACTGTACACCAGGAGCTGGGAACACGAGCAAAAGGTTCTGTTGTACTCATGTCCTGCTTGGTTTCACACTGGCCACTTTGTCAATAGAATGCTTTTTATTACTATTTATTTTATTTCTGTATCACACACTAGCCAAAGCTGTCTGGACACCGTACAACAATCCATCGTATACAATATAAAATATAAATAACAGTAAAAATAAAATGTCCCTAGAGACTTAAAACTTAATTTTAAATGACTTGAACAATGCAGACAGGTTAATACAAGTAGACCTGTAAAAACAACTGACATGCCTCCTTTCCGGTGCTCTGTTTGGAGCTGGGAAATGGCTCAGCATTGAGGGTAGACTTAATCTGGTGCTGAAAAGATGATAGATTTGGTGTTGGAGGTCCTTTGTGGAGTTCTAATTCTACAGCTCAGGCTCTACCACAAAGAGTACTCTCTTCCACATTGCCACCAAATCTCCTGTCAGGATGGCAGTTGGAGGAAGCCTCAGTCATTGAGCATAATGTCCCGCTAAACTGAGGTTGGCAGGGGCGCTCTGTGAGATACCGCAGTCTCAGGCTAGGTTGGGCTTCATGCATTAAGGCAGCATCCTGAATTGGGTGTGGAACCCCATAGGCAGCAACAGTCCGTCAGGGCTCTTCTTGGGGCTCTTGCTTGCGGTGTAATAAATTGCCCTCCTCTGAAAAGTCCTAGTGGCAGAGGTGGTGCTGATCCAAGCTGCGTGCGTGCACACGCAGTCACTAGTACGAAGTCCACACGGACCCCTCGTAGGGTTCAGCCACTGGCTGTGATCTCCGTGTTGCAGTGATCTCTCAGTTTGTACAATGGGAATGGGGACGCTCCAGCACTTTTTGGAATGAAGATAGTGGTAGTTCCTGGCCCTCACAGGAGTCTTATCGGAGAAGACAATTGCCATGAGTGTCTAAGGGTGGGTAGTCTTTATGCAAGACTATGATTATGTTATGGCTCACTGTAAATGCAAGAAAACGTATGGAGAAATTGGTTCCAGAGTTCAGCTTCCCAGGAGGCTTAGCTTGTTTGATTAGCAAGCAAGTTTCTAGTGCCTGTTGTGACAAGTACATGTTTAAGCATGTGAAATTTTAAAAGCCAGAATGATTGCTGAATAAGATTTCCAGTGGGCAGTGCTTCACCCTTATTTTCACCAACTCATGTGTAGGAGAAGCAGACATATTTGAAATAGTGAAAATTGAAAGAGAACTTTAGCAGTGGACTATAAATTATGCCAAGCTGCTCCATACAATGGCACTTTTCTGGTCACAGGGTAGCTGTTCATTTAGAACAACACATCCACACAGCCTCCACATTCAAATTAAGATCCACAGTGGCATGACGGTCTGTATATTTTTCTGTACTCATCATTCCCTCTTCCTCCATGTTCTTGTTTCTTGATTCCAGACCTTTCCTGTGTCAGTCATATGCCTTACTTGTTGGAACTGGATGTTTCCCATAATGCGCTTACCACATACTTTGACTTCATTCCACCTAAGAATCTCCAAGTAAGAAACAAAATACCACTTTGTGAGCTGAATGTGAGTTCAGGTCACCTGTTCAGCTAGCTAGCCAGACAAATTCTGCCACCCTCAGGAAACCTAATGACAAGTAAGGATAATAGATTGATAAATAGATAAGATGTATGGATGTTTCTGCCTCTGGGATCCCTTGTCAAAAATTAGTCATTCCCCCCCTTTTTTTCTGTATGAAGTTGAGTCTTCCTGTGTCTCAGAACTCCGCTGCACCCCCAACAAGCTCCATCTGTCTCTGGGCTGTGGATCAGTCTTTTCCTCACCTCCTGTTACTTGGCGGTTGGTGAAATTCTGCAACTCTTTCAACAAACTTGCTAAGCTGATTTTTTTTTCTTTTTAGGATTCTGAGGGTGGTTCCCAATGTTAGTCTAGCTCAACTCCCATTCATTTTCATGGGTTTCCTCTAACACTGAATATAACCCAAGAGTTTTGGGAACAGACTGTCTCATCTATAAGTTTTGTTCAAAGAAAATGCTTCTTGTTGCTTGCCCGCTCGCTCTTCAGTCTGACCTGCCTACTTCGTGGCTTTCCCCATTCCATTTTCTTCTGATGTCCCATTTCTCCAACTAGATTACACAAATAAGCCTTTTGGGGCTTTCCAAAGATGTTCAGGCCTCCAGACTGCTGAACATCCAGAGACAGGGGGTCCTGTGGTTTGGGGCAAGGCACCGTATACAACGGTGTATAAATGTACCCTAACAATGAGTGGGTTGCATTTTTAAGAGGGCACTCTTAGCCTAAACATTGTGAGCTCTTTGATGTGTGGATTCTGAGTTGCCAACGCCTATGTTAGGGGTTTTTTTTGTTTGTTTTTTACCAGTAATTGGTAAAAAATTGACTTCGTAATTGTGCTTTAAAGCAAAATCCTATAAATGTTTAGACAAAAAAGGGCCTACAGCTTCCAGCATTCTGCAGCCAGCATGGCTGACTGGGGGATGCTGGGGTTTGTAGGCCTTTTTCTGTTTAAACATTCATAGGATTGCACCTTTAAGCACAAATCTCATATCGCTGCCCATTCAAAGGTTCTCTTTATGTTCATTTCATTTTCAAGAAAGTGAAAGAACTCGGGGGAGGCAGGGGAGAAAGGCATGTAATTTCCTGAATTTGAGAACTGTACTGAGAAATTATTTATGAAAGTGCCTAAGGGATAACTAATACTATGGGACAGAAATAAAATTCAAAGTGATCTTGATATGTGGGAACTCTGAGCTGAAATCAACAGAATGCGATATAATAAGAACAGGTGCCAAGTTCTGCAGCTAAGGAAAAAGAACCCAAATGCATCATTACAAGAGGGGGAACGCTTGGCTCAGCAGCGCTGCAAGTGAGAAGGATCTTGGGATTGTTGTGGCTCACAAGCTGAACAAGAGTCACTGGAGTGTGTGGCAGCAAAGAGGGCAAATGCTGTTTTAGGCTGCATTAATAGAAGCATCACTCCAAATCCCGTGCTGTGCATTGTGGCCCTTCGCACAGCACTGGTTAGGCCTCATCTGGAGTCCTGTGCCCAGTTCTTGGCACCGCAGTGGAAGGAAGATGCAGACAAGCTGGAAGGGGATCAGAGGAGGGCGATGACAATGATCAGGGACTGGAGACAAGCCCTGTGAGGAGAGATGGAAAGAACTGGCCATGCTTAGCCTCGAGAAGAGAAGATTGAGGGGAGACAGGATGGCACTTCTCAGCTCTCCGAAAGGCTGCAGTGCTGAGGAGGGCTAGGCTCTCTTCTGAATCATCTCAGAGTGCCGAACATGGAAAAGCGGACCCGACTTACAATATGGCAGTGGAAGCAATGACTAGGGGGGTCATGGGCTCTCCCATTCTGGAGGCCTTCAGGAGGCAATTGGACAGCCCTCTGTTAGGAATGCTTTGCCTTTGAGTCCTGTGCTGTGCAGGGGGCTGGACCCAGTGGCCCCGTTGGCTCCTTTCATCTTCATCGTTGGATGATTTGAAGAGTCTCTGATTCTGTAAGGGTGCAGTTTTATGGCTGCTTAGACAGAAAAAAGTCCTGTAACTCTGAGCATTCCCCAACCAGACTTTTTCAGTCCAAACAGTTATAAGATTAGCTTCTGCTTGAAGAGATGCATCAAGAAGGAAGCGGGGGGGGGGGGGAGGAAATCTAGGGAGGTAAGAGCATGAAGACATTTGAACAAAAATGGAGGTCCAGTTGGTAGCGATCTTAAAGCAAAGGGCAGTATCTGACGCTGCCACCCAGCCAGCACCAGATCCCTTGCACATTGCAGTAGGAACTAGAGGGTCTAATAACTCCTCCCAATCTGCCCTCTTCTGCTGACCTGCCCTGTGTTTGAAACAATAATTTCTGGACCTTTTAGGAGCCACTGCCTCGCTGTTGCGTGGCAAGCCCGCTGCCCATGGTTTTAGGAGGAAGGCTCTTAAATGGCCCTGAAAGACAGGCAAGGGTGCTCTGTGCCTGGCCGCCACTCTTTCCCTCCGGGGCTCTCACAACATGCGGTGCCAGAGAGGAGAGAGGGGCAGCCCCTCCTTGTACTGCAGGCTGGTGCTTCGGGGCCCTGGAATCAGAGCAGCCATTTGCACGTGGAACACGGATCATGGTTAGGCCATTCTGCATATCCTGTTTTACAAAATACATTTGTGCTTTCTAAGCTCACACATGAATTTTACTTATGCTTCAACTTTGCACCCAAGTTGAAAAGTCACAGTGCAGCAAGGGATAAAAACAGAAGAAGGTCTTTGGCAACTTGGCATGTTCTCCCCACCTCCCCCGTTCCAGGTGGTGAACTTTTCATACAACATGATTCCAGAAATGCGAGATCTTTCTGCCTACCAGTCACTTACAAAGCTCATACTGGACAGTATCCTTTCTTGTGAAGAATGACACTTCTAGAGGGAAGGGAAGTGAAATAATGCAGAGGCTACCTAAAGATAGAGTGCGTCTATGCTTGGCCTGGAAATGAATTTAGTATTGATTCTGACCCTCTCTAGAGAGTTAGATTGTGCTTTCTAAATGTGTTTGTGTGCTTTTAAAGTTCAAAAATGGGAACTACCACATGACTGGCAAACAGGGCATCACTGGCTAAACCTCTCTGTCTGGTTTAACTCCATTCAATCCAGCTTCTATGAGCAGTTTCGAAAAGCAGTTGAGGCTGTACCATCCTGATCATCTGCTTAATTCAAGAGGATTGTGACGAGCTAATCTGCATTGCCTTTGAGATGCCTGCATGGTGGTGTTGACCCATGGGAGAGCCACCCTTGGGGTGGATCGTTGTGCCCGGGGAGTTGTAGGGAAGAGCTGTGCCCACACCCTGGAGGGACACTGCCAGGCAGTGTCTGCGATTCAGGGCTTGATGGCACAGGGGCCCAACTCAAAGCAAGACAGCGTGTAGAATCGGGGAGATCTCCCTGCCTGGGCGGCCATTCTTCCACACAGCGCTCCTGGTTTGGGCCTTTCAGTGCATGGCTCCTGTTCACAGACAGCAGCCCCCCATCAGTTTCTAAATCCATAAGCGCTGGTCCCGTGCAAACCAGCTCTATGCCCATCCCAAGAAGCTGCAAATAGCTCTCCTTGTGTGCACATTTGGGGTTGCTATTGGACATCATGATGACGGGCAGAAGGGAAATCTGTTTCAGGGCATGTAGCCAAAAACAGAGGGGTGGGAGCTGCAGAGGAAGCTCATACTAAGATGTGAAAGATGAGTGCTTCTGGTTTCGAGATGAGGAGTGCTAAAGGGCTGTGGTTCATGCCTGTCAGGAGAATGCACATCTTCCCGACTGCCCTGATTCTCCCAAGAGCCTCAGACAGAGAAAGATAAACCAGCCAGCCCAGCCAGCCCATCTCCACACCACCTGGGCACAAGTGGCATCCGCTGTAACTCTTGCTTTCCTGGGTTTTTTTTAAAAAGTATGCTAATTAATGCTTAAAAGTATATGGTAATTAATATTTAAAAGTTTTGATACTTTGGTAATTTGGCAAAGATACAAACATTCTCCTTCAAAACCTTGTAGAGCAATTGGTAGATGTTTTCACTGTCGATACCATCCTGGTGCAGCTGAAATCTTCACCCGGGCGAGAACAGCCCGAGGAGCTGCCGCCCCTGCCCTGGGTGCGTCCGGAGCATGGTGCAAGGCATGGCAGCGGCGCTTTTCGCCCCTGCCAGGGCACCTCGGAGCCTGCCGTTCATCTGGGCAGGCGTGAGGCCCCAGGGAGGGAAAGGAGGCTGCGGGGGCTCTGTGCTAGTGGGGCAAGCCGGCAGCCCCTCCCCACCGAAATGGTAGACTTAGAAAGGCAGTCAGCCTGCTTCTTTCCACTTGGGCTGCAAGGGGGCTTGGCGGTCAGCCCCCCCCCCCCCCATTCCTAAGGTCACAGGATCTCAGAGCTGGGACACTAAATAATCTTACGCCCCTTCTGCATTGATGTCAGTGGGCTGAGGGGTTGCACCCTAATGATCACAAACGTGGAAATTGTGGAAGGTTTGCGTTTGGCTAGTGTAGTTTTCTTCTGCACGTGGGAATGAGATGAAAAAATCCTTGGGCTATTGCAGAGTTGTATGAAAACAGCCTCTTCATTATCAATAGCTCTCAGATCAGACATGCCTGACTTCCAGTTCTCATATCTTATCAGGCCTCTTAACTGTTATTCCACATCTGGCTAGTCTTTCTAATTTTTATTACTTGATTGTCCTTCCCGTTTTTCTTTAATTATTCATTAGCATAATCCAACTCATTGCTCCTGAGGAAGGGTCTTTAATAAAAAGAATATTTAAGCAATTAAAAATTATTTAAGCATGTCTTACTTTCCTTTTCTTCACCCAGTAAGTTAATTTCATGACTCTAAATAGGGCCCCACATTTCATGTACTAATTAATAACTTTTCAAGCTTCTCTCCCCGCCCCAAGCTTTGAGCTAACAATATTCTCTCTACCTTTAACAGATAAGGCAGATATGCGTTGTGTGAGTGTGATCCAGCTATTTTCAAAGAACCCAGCAGGATCCTTGTGGGATCTAACAGGATGTCTGTCCTTGTTACCTCTTCAGCCTTTTCATATCTTCCGCTATAAATGATGCGTATTTCAGTTTTGACACGTACAGCAGCAGTATGCTGTGAATGCATTTAAATATATCTGCTGAGCAGAGCATCTGGCAAGGATGGGTGAGGGACAATCACAAGCCAGGCAGGCTTGTCGTGGTGGAGCAGAAGCTGGCGGGCGCAAGGGGCACGGTAGCCGAGGAGCGCAGGTAGAGCCGTCCCGTGGCTGGCGCGTGTCCCCGTCACTGTGCCGCCCGGCCCGTGTCCCACAGGCAGTTGGCAGGCCACTGCAGGCGCAGAAGCAGACGAGATGGGCCCACGGCCCTGCGGCCGCCACCTCAGAGCAGCAAGGGCAGTGGAGGGCCCTGTGCCCCGACAAGGGTGGCTGGGAGGGAGGACCGCCTCTTCTCCTTGGTCCCTGGCACAGCAGCCGCTGCGTTGGCTGCCTGCGGCGGAGCGGCAAGAGGCGGCCTCTCCCCCAGAGTCAGGGAGCCAGTCTGAAAATCCCACCCCTGCCTCTGGCTCGGACAGTAAGACCACCGTAATTAAATGACTAGCACCCAAAACAAGCTGCCTGAGACACTTGCCTTGGAACGCCCCATATTATTACCATAACTACACTGCCTGTATATCCCACCTTTCTTCCTTTTGAGAGGACCGCAAGGCTGCTCGCCTCCATTTTATCCTCAGTTCAGCAACCCTGTGCTGTGGACCAGTCTGAGGGAGTGGCCATCTTCCTGAATATGATTTCTTCGACCCTGGGATGCCATCGTAGCTGAGGCCATTGATGGGATCCCTGCCGGCTAGCCTGTCTCTCTCCGTTCCTTTCTCACCTTTATCGCCTTGTGGTCTCTCGCCAGCAGTGGCTGCTGGACCAGACCAGGCCTGCCAGCTCCTGCTGGCTGCCTGACTCCCTGACTGGTGGGGAGACCTTGCAGTGTTCCCTTCCCGTACAGACATAGCCTTGCATTTCATGCTGTAGGTTCTGCTCTGGCACCAGCGGGTGCTGGCACAAGAGCCTCCTACACAGTGGAAAACAGGCAGTTCTTGGCTTCCTAGGCCAGGGTTGGGAGGAATGGCCATCTGCAGATGTTTGGAAGCTCAGCTCCCAGAAGCACTAGGCAGCATGGCCAACGGTCAGAGATGCTGCGAGCACTGAAGTCTAAAAGACCCAGAGAACTACCTTCTGCCCACCCCTGCCTGATGCCCTCCCCCCTCACTGGTCCCTGTTCTCCTGGCAATGGTAGCATTGAGTTTTTGCATCCACATCTTCCAGCCTAGTTCCCTCTTGCAGGGTGAAATTGATGGGAGCACGCGGCTGGAGGGAGCCGGGTTGACGAAGGTGACTGTTGCTGTTCAAAGAGAAGAAAATGCAAACCCAAGTAGCGCTTCAAGAATGGAGGAAAAGCCTCATTGGAGCACATCACAATGGCTCCCTCTAGTCCGGCCCCCTGTTTCCAGCGCCGGAAGGAGCCAGATTTTTCTGGAAGGCTCCCAACAGTGTAGGGAGGAAGAGCCCTCCCTTCTGCTTGCACCCTCGGCAGCAGGAGTCCAAGGGGTGCTCCCCCTGCAGTGCCCGCAGCTTCCTCTCACTTTGCCCGCAGAGCTGTTCCTTCTCCTGCTGTTTGACAGATTCTGTGTCAGACGGTTTTTAGCTCGGCAATAGAGAGCTCAGTCCTGGGTGCTCGGGGTTACGTAACTCGAGTGTTTCACAAGGTGTCCAGCTGACATGGCTCTTGTCAGCTTGTGGCCTAGCAGCTCACTCCCGTCACAATTATAATTTCCCATTGCAGAGGCAGAAATAAGATGGGGGCCAAGCTTGATTACTGCCCATCTGGCCGGAAAGAGGGCATTAGAAATTGCTTCAGGTGCGAGCACTTCACTAGGTCTGCTTTGCTCATTCATACTTTCCAGCAGTGTGGCAAAATCAACAGTGATGTGTACAGCAGACTCCATGCACCCATCCTTGCCCAGAATAACGTTTCCCAGAATCCCCCTTCCCTGTGAAGCGAGGCAGCGCATGGCAGATGCTCTTGGTGGCAGCAGACAGAGGTGCCATAAAGGGGAATAGCCAGACTTAACCCCTTAAACATGCGAGTGCTTTCAGGCAGCGGGGCCACTTGGTCCAGTGAGTTCTGTGCAGGGGAATTTCCTTATGGAGTGTTTACTGGCGCATGAGAGGTGTGTGCGCGATGCTGGGTGGGAGGATGTGGGACGGCTTTCATAATCTTCACTTCAGGCTCCAAAATAACTCGCAGCACCATTGATGTTGACTTCGCCCAGAAAGACGCACACATTCCTTCCACGCCGAACCCAGCAAGTAGAAGACGATCCTTTTGTAACCTGCACACAGATGTCTTTTGCAGCAGTGGCACTGCTGAGCTGACAGGAGCAAAACGCCTCCTGTTGTGCTCCTGGAAACTTCAGTGCAGCCTGGGAAGGTCATTAAGGTTTTCCTTGACAGTTGCGCATATGCACAGCATGCGCCCTGTTGCACCTGACAGGATTATTACAGGAACTGCCTCAAAGCCAAGAAGGGAGAGACACTCTCCTAATACGCCTGTACCTGACACACCATTTGCGGTGGGCCGTTAATGCCTCCCAGATTGGTTTGTTAGCACTGCTAACTGGATTTGCTCACTTTATTGGTAACCTCACTCCACATCTGAAATCCTCCTGGATTTCAGTAGGCTGATGTTTTTGCTTTCGCGACTGTATTCCTATCCTCCGTGCAGACGTGTTACAATGAGAACTGTGGGGAGGGGGGCTCTTTTTCTGGGCAACTAAATCGGGAGGGAATCCAGGTGGGATCGTGGGTTCCAAGCACTCAGATCCCTGGCTTAACAAGGGGCATATTTTGAAATAAGTCAAGGTTGGTGACAGCGCCACTCCCACACATCTCAAAATGGGGGTGGGGTGGGCTGAAAGGAGATCTCCAGTTGTTTGGACTTCAGCCTGGGAGTGGAAGCCCCAGGTACCTGCAGATCCACTTTCTGCCCAGCTGCTGCTTCAGCTCATTCTTCCCTGATGAGAGGAGCAGCGGAGACTGTGCTAAGGCCAGGCCTTCGCGGTGCAGGCCGGCCAGCCTCTTGGGGCAGGGGCAAAGGGCTGCCTCATGTGTCCATGCGAAGTCAGTAACAGCCCTGCAGGCAGCCTCCTCCCTGCTTGTGCTGTAAAGCTCAGTCAGTAGCATCAGGATAGGGGCCAAGGGCTCTGTAGCCCCTGCCTGCTGGGATGCTTTCGTGCAACCCTGCAGTTAGTAGCTGGCTAAGGGGTTATGGGAACTGTAGTCAACACATCAGAAGGGCACAAGATGGCGGAAAGCTCTTCCAGGGTTCCCAGTCCTGCCTTGAGACAGACTGGCTGAGCGCAACACAAAATATCCGAATGGGTGCATCTACAGTGTATGCAGCTCAGAAATGCCTTACCAAAACATCTGATTTGGGGAAATAGGGTCACTTTTGCCTGAGATGCCAAACACAACAATGTGTTAGGACTGGGGTGGGCAATTTAGAAGCATAGAAACAGTGGTCTCTGGGGCCATCTAGTCTGACCCCCGGCCCCAGCCAGATCCACTCATGAATTTCAGAGGCTCTGGGGGACATTTTTCCCTCCACCCTTCCACAGACCACACTCTTGCTACCATTGCTTTAGCTGCAGAGTAACAAACAGGCCAATTCTAGCCTGTTCTCAGGTAAGATTTGATCTTTTTGACCACACTGTAGCAGTTTGCCCCTGAAAATAGCATGCACAAGCCGTCACGTTATCCACCCTGCGAGAGGGGGATATTCAATGAAACCACAACACGTGGCGCAAACGACAGAGAAGCTCCTCTGAAACAAGCCAGGCCGTGTTCTTGACTGTGATTTTGTTCCTTAAGTCTAATGCTGACACCCAGATAATAACATCAAAGAGATCCGAGGCCTGGAGAAGTGTCACAGCCTGACGTACCTCAGCTTGGCAAACAACGAGATCACAGCCATCACTGGCCTGAAAAACCTCCCCATCAAAACGCTCTGCCTGGTGAGTCCATCTTCCTTCTCGCGTACAGCGAAGGAGCCCCTGGAACGAGCTCTGCAGCACACGGACTGGCTGCCCGCAGCACCCCTTCTCCGCACAAACCGATCTGCGTTTCACAACTCCTTTGCTGGTATCCCAGGTATGGTGACAAAACGGACAGAAGGCCCCTGGGCAGCACCGCCAGAGGCAGTGCCCACGCCAGGTCACGTCCCTGTGACGTAAGTGCAGTGTTATCGCACCTCAGTATGCACAGAGTTGTGGCCCGAGCCTTTTGGAACCATGTTTATTGTTTGCCGACGTAGTCAAGGTTTCATGGCTACCGCCATTCAGCTTTTCCCCCCACAGTGCCCAGGACAATGGAGTAGTTTGTGGAGGAAGAGATGGATGCCAGAAGGCCGATACCCACCACTCCACTAAGCATCAGTACAATCTTCCTCCCACATTGGGTGGGGGCACTGGAGGGCACTTTGCCAAGAACCTGGAAACAAGCCGTTTTTCATTTACAAGTGAGGTTTATCAGTGGAAAAAATGGAACTGCTGCCCTGGGCAATTAGCAAGATCAAGAGGTTGTGTTTTAGTTAGGTCTGGTTTTGAACGGAAGTGGTTTTAGAGGCTAAACTATTTTACATGATTGTCTTACTTTTAGCTGTTTTAAATTTGCCCATTGGGATTTTATACTGCATTTTATTGTGTATTGTGTATTTGGTTGATGGCTGTGTACCTCCCAGAGAGCCATGGCTGTTGGGTAGTATATAAATTTATTTATTTATTTTATTCTAGTTAGATCCCACCCTTTTTCCTTTCAAGGAACTCAAGGCAGCTTCCATAATTCTTCTCCTCCTCGTCTCAGCCTTGTCCCCACAACATCAACTCGGTGAGGTAGGTTGGGCTGAGAGTCTCTGACTGGCCCAAGGTCACCCAGTGGGCTCCATAGCTGAATGACATCTAGAACCCAGCCTGAGTCTTAGTCCCGTGCTCTTAACCACTACACAACCCTGAAAGGAATGAATCCATACATGGAGAGGTGGCAAAGGAAAGGGGACAAGCAGAGAGAGAGGGAGAGAGAGAGAGAAGTCTCAAGGGAAGCAGGTCTCCTGTCCAGGCACAGGATTCTGAGAACCCTAGCTATAAAATGCCGTTGTGCCGCAGCCACCTCCCGAGGCGGCCAAGACAGACTGGGCCCCTCTAAGAGAGAAGAGCTCAGTAGGAACCTGGGGCTCACCAGCGTGAAGGAAGCCAACATCAAACCTAAGGCTTGTCCACAATCTGCTGTTTGTTGGTGCAACAGGCAGGTAAGTTTGCCGGACTCCCAGCGCTAGCAGCATGTGACGCTGCCGCGTTCAGGCCCCCGTGCGAGATGGAACGGACCCCCGCTGGACCTGACTTGCCCCAAGACCTTACTGTGAATCAGGCCCGGGGGGGCACCCCGTCACTGGGCCTCACAGTGCCCACCACGGCAGCGGGGCTAACAGGCTGAAACAACATGGAATGAAATGCAGCTGCATGTGTGCTTACTGTGGGGCGTATAAGGACTCGACCTTAACTGAGGAGGTGTGCTTTGACAAATGGCACTGCCAGGTGGGTGTTTAGCGGATGGTGATAGTTCCAGATATAAGGGACAGAAGGGGGAATGGGCAGAGACCTTACAGACCTATAAAAAATGACTTGCAGGCCCAGTGAGTTAAATGCTTCCCGGTAATTGAGCGCGTGAGCAGGAAATGTTCGAAACCATTCATTGGACCTTTCAGCCCGGAGAGATTCTTGCAACAGAAAGCCTCACTGAGGGTCACACAAACTGATCCAGTAAGCGGAGAGGCGGCTACAAATTGCCAGGGTCAGGCCCAGGAGGCAGCCTAGATACTGTTTTCCATAAAATCAAAACCTAAGGCTTCCCAAGTCTCCTCTCTCGTTGAAGGACTGCCCCCAGGGACCCTGCTGCCAGAGGCTAAACCCCCTCAAGCCATTTTCATCCAATCCTTTTTTGCCTTATCAAGGGCCACCACATAGGATAAAAAGTGCCCAGTTTGCACAGAGGCTAAACCCCCATTCACTGCAGGAACCTTCTTGCTGGGGGAGAGAGTTTCTCTTCCAAGAGCAGCTTTCCCCCGTAACCCCCTGCTCAGTGCGGGACCCCGGTTTAGCCATCCCACCCAGGTGGGTTTCCAGTTCTTCACTTGGGATCTGCTTTGTAGGGTTGCACCCAGAACAGCTGCCGCTGAGAGGCCCAAGTGCTCTGGTAGCTACCGCAGATGAGCACAGGGGGCAGAAGTGGCTCCAGCTCACACTTGCTGGCTGGCTAAGCTGTTCTATCCCACCCAAGGGCAGGACTGCCAGAAGGGACCAGGAAAGGAAGGGGCGGAGAAAGAGGGCTGAGGAAAGCAGCTGCTGGAAGCTGAGAAGGCATGGGGTGCACTGAACCCGGGTGTCAAAGGAGAGAGCAGGGCTGCGCAAGCAACCGCAGGAGCTGCACGGGTGATCCGTGCGGAAATGTGGACTTGAAAAATAGCAACTCTCTCTCTCCGCTGAAGAGCAGCTCGAGTCAGGCAGGGCAAGGGCCAACTCGCAGGTCAGCGTTCTCTCTTCCATAGTCTTCCACATTCCCCTTTGTTAGTTTTGGGCCCTCTTGGAAGAGCTCTCACCCAGCTCTGATCCTCAAACACAAGGTACAGGCCACCGGCAAGAAAGCCACTTTGCCATTAATAGCCTTATTAAACATTTAAAACACAGGGGAACTGTCATGGCAAACCAGCCAGCCAAAATTACGGAAATCGTCCTCCTGGCATCCCTCCTTCCTAAATATTTATGGAAGTCCCAGGAGGTGTCGCTACAAAATGAGGGAGGAAAGCGGCAGGCAAGGCTACAGTCATGTAAGTGCAGAGGGGCTGGCTTTTCTGCCTTGAAAGTAAAAATGAGCAACATAGTCATTGTGCGGAAGTTTTGCAAAGCTGAACAGAGCATGAACTAGGCTGAAAACATGATCCGGTTTTCTGCTCAGTACAGGGTCTGCCGGCTCAACCAACTGACAACTTCCTGAGTTTGGTGGGGGGGGCACAAAAAGTGGGTCCTGCCACTGAGCCACAGTAGCCACTTGATCCCTGTCCAGAAATTAAGCGCCTCACCACTGGGATTTTACTCCTTGGATCCCGAGTGCCTTCCCTGGCTATTCTTCCCCTTTCTTCTGCCCCAAACGGTCCTGCATCATCAGTGTTGGGACCACTGCTAAAGCATTAAATGTAGTCACAGAACTTATGGGGCAGGACAGAAGACAGAACTGGCGGGCAGAGGCATCACTGCACCCTCACCGAATCCCAAGAAATCCAGCTTTGCATTTGACTAATACTTGAAAAACCAGATGTGCAGGTGGAGACTCAAGAGGGAACTGAGAAGTAGAGAAACAAAGAGAAGATAAAAATCAGGCCTGGAATCTTAAATTAATTGAATTGCAGCACATGAAACAAGGTTGCAGGTCTTTTCTACCCTGTGGTTAAAAATAATCGATGTTGATTTATTAATTCATGACACCTTTGGTGCCATGCTGGTATCCATCTGTGAAAAACTGCCCACAGGGAAGGTAGTAAACACGTATCTGTCCATGAGATATAGTCTATCCAGAAATATTTACACTCTGTAGATTTCTGTAGAGTGATTATAATTTTGCGGCTAAAAGAAAAAGCTACAAATCAGGAGAATAAACAGTAAGAAGTCCCTGTAGGGTGGCTTCTGGCAAACCGTTCTGTCAACGTCCTCGTCTTCAACATGAGAGTAATGATACTGACAGGGTGGTTGTAAGGATTATAGGAAGGCCATGGGTAGGACCTGCCCAAATCATCTTGCTACCTTGGCAAAGAATGGGGTGCTGCTCCTTCCATGCCAGGTACAAACGCCAACCGAACTGGCAGACAAATCGGCCTTCAGCACTGATGAAGTGGCATCCCCCACTGCACCTGAAGCTGGCAGAGCATTTTCGGGGGGGGGGGGGGGCTCAGCTCACACATCATGCAAATCTGCTCTCCTCACCTGGCCGCCCCCTCTCTGCTGCTGCCGCCTGAGGCGATTGCTTCACCCTGCTCAGTGACAGGCCTGGCCTGACTAAGGACATGGCATGATTTGAATATTCAAAAATGTTTTGCATAAAGCGTGCTAAGTGTCATCATTGATTCATTTCCTATGACATGCTGGGCTCAATGAGATTTAGTGCAGAGTTTTGTGAGGTTGTAGCCTCGCGTAAGTCTTGACACAAGTCTTGCATGGCAACGCTTCCAGCAATTTCATATTCACAGTGACATCTAGCAGAAGCCACGGCTGATCATGAGTTAAACCATCTGGATGAGCCCATTATGACAAGCAAACTGGGCCAGTATCTCTGGTTCCAGTAGAAAGAATTTCGGTTGGATGAGGAAATCAAGGGAATTTCACAAGGCTGCCTTGCACAACTGCACGTGCCTTTCTGCTTTTGCAAGACCTCTCTGGATCCCAGTCTGTGCTTTTCAAATGGTCGACTCACAACTGGGGCCTGTTGCCCACTAGCATCTTGGCCAGTGATGATCTTTTCCTGGTGCAGAGATGAAACACACCTCACCTTCACCTTGGGCATCTGCTCCCTGCTCCAAAATTGATCGCCAGCTGGAAGGATGGTCGGAGTTGTAGTCCAACACACTACACTAGATTGTGTGTAGGGCGCACTAGATTGGTGAAGGCTAGCAGGGCCAGTGAGCAGAAGGTAGACCTCTAGATGCTTTGAACTTCAGCTCCCAGAGGCCTCAGCCAGCACAGCCATTGGTCAGACATGCTGAGAAATGAAGTCCCAGCCTTCTGGAGAGCTGCCTTCTGCCCACGCTTGGAATAGAGAAATTGAGCAAAGCCCTGTGAGGCAGGCTTCAGGTTGCATTTGGCTAGACGATGAGGCAGTCCTTTGCCCAAGGGGCAATCAAGTTCCTAATTTCACAGACTTTACAGGCTTCAAATTATTTTTGTAGAAATCGAACAAAATAGAGAAGGCCACTGGCTTGGAAGATCTAAAAGTTCTACAGACCCTGGACTTGTCCGGCAATCAGATCAGCAGTTTGGAAGGCCTGGAAGAACGCAATCTACTGGAGGAGATCAACCTGGAAGATAACCAGGTAATAGATTGCAGGTGGGACAGGGCACAATCCTTTGCAAGCTTGGGCCAAAAGGCGCCTACCGCTGCCACCGCCAGCTCAGTGATTGTGAAGCTGAAGGCCCTTTTTCTATCTAAGCTTATTTTGAATTGCACCTTCATTAGGTCAACCTATTTTGCTGACTCTGTTCCTGAAACTGTGGGCATTACCTCATAACAGGGCCAGTTTGTACAATCAGAATATTTAAGGAGGGAGAAAGACAGCACCCTGGGAATTCGAGGCACAGCCATGCATGATAGAATCCCATACGGAAGTTTTAGAAGAGCGTTTTAATACACTTGGGAAGCCAAGTACTTTTTCATCAGCCCTTTTGCACTGCATAATTTACACCACAGCTGCCATGCTTTGAGCTGTTTTGTTTTTGCATAACTTTGCTACAAATGCTGGCAGTCTTATTCCACCACTTCTCTAGCATCTGAGATTTCAGATACCGTTGCCCACAGGCTTGCACAATTATCTTCGGGGGCTTAAAGGTTGGGGATTTGGGTTTGGTTCTGAAATGCTAAAATGTCTCGCAAAGCTGCATTCTGTGCCTGATGCTGTGTTCTGTGTTTTCTGCACTCCCACAGAGCTTGTTATCCTCACCGTTCTGGATGTGGAACTGTTCCCTGTTTTTGCTTCTTTTTAATCAAAACTTTCCCCAACCTCTGCTTCGTAACTAGGTGTCTGACCTGAGCGAGCTGGAATATATTGAAGGCTTACCTCTCCTCAGAGTACTCAATCTGCTAAACAACCCAGTGCAGGTGAGAGAGCGTCAAAAACAGAAGCATAAAATCAAACGGTTATCTCAGAAAGCGCATCTAATTGTTTTCTATGGCTGCAGAGCTGGGCTGCTCCTGTGCCTCAAAGGAATGGCGTGCGTCTTTTTTTATACTGCTCTGTGCGCCCCTAAATGTTGAGGTGTTTCAGGGGCAGGCGGAGGCTTACTTTGGATAGGAGGGCATTTAAGACTTAGGGTAATTTGTAGTGGTTGATTCATTTATGAACTTACAAATGGAGCCAAAGAGCAGGCAACCCCAGAAGCTGGAGATGCATTGTCAGATCCCCGCTACCCCAAGGGGCAACCAGCTTTCTCATGCATCACTCTCTGTCTGCTGTTTTGTCTGCTGTTTCCTCCCTTTCTTTTCTTCATACTCTCTCTTACGTAAGGGAAAGGGACGGATGTAAGGCAGAAGAGTGTGTGTGGGGGGGTTTTACCTGTCCAAGCCCTGAAATGGTTCCAAACATCCAAGAAAAAATCTCCAGGTCTCAGGCAGCCATCTCCCAACAGGGGACTCACCCAAGAGAAGCATTTTGGTCTGTTAACCAGTAACCACAGCAAAGCAAGCTACGCATCTTCCAGATGCAGTCCGGCATTCGCCCCGCTTCTCCTCATTGGCCAGGACCTCGCGGGGCAACCTGAGCCTCAAGCAGCCTCTCCCTGGAGTCGGGCAGCTGGGTTCTTCTAAGGTCTACTGAGGCTTGAGCATCATCACACACGCTGAAAAGATGGACCAGGAACACCTCCGCCACCTTTCACGAGGCATCCAAAGCTGCTGCCAGGGAAGACGGTGCCTGTACCGTGTTCCTTGGTCCCTGGGTGCAGGCTATGCTGGAAGGACTTCCTCCTCATTCGGAGGACTTGACAGTCTCTTCTGATTAACAGGCCACAGCACCCCATTTGTCAATGACAGCAGCATTTAAAGCCAGACGCCATCTCATGTATCACCACGATGCAACACATGTTTATAACTTGTCCTGAGCCGTGTGGATGATTAACAGCACCAGCATCTTGGCTTTATGGCTCCTCGATACACTGTGAAATGATTTTCAGGGGTCCAGGGAAGAAATATTGCACATTTCTCTGCGCTTTCCTGGTTGGTACATATCACCTGGCACAATCCACCAGGGATTTCTCTTGTGCAAGTGCAACTCTTTAATTTGACAGAAACTTTGTGGGGAAGAAAAACTCCCAGCTGACTGGGGTTTTTTTCCCCCTTTTTCCTTTTTCTATGCATTTGTCTTTGAGAATAATGCAGATGGTTAGAGCTACCTTTATTCTGTATTTGGAAACCTTTCCCACAGAAGCCCAAATGTGCTTGGAATAGATAAAGCAGGCTCGGGGCCACTATCCCACAGTGCATCACTGTAAATGTGCCTCTGTATTTGTGTTGCTAAGAGGAACTTGCCCCAGGGAGATTCCTGCCTAAAATTTAGGGAAGAGCAGTAAAGCAAAAGGCAGAGAGGAAAGACTGACAAACGGGGTTGCCAGTGGAATGGAAAAGTACGTAAGTACAGTGAGTGGCATCTCAAAGCGCCACTGCCAAGGGCTGCAATCTTAAACATATTTACGTAGAAACAAGTCCCACTCAGATCACTGAGGACCATATTAGAGTAAATGAAGTCAGGATCAGGCTGAATTCTTATGGAGGGAGAGTGTTTGGAGAACATTGAGGGAGGGGCAGAGCAAGTGGGCTGCTGTTGAGGCAGAGGCTGTAGAGAAAATGCAGGAGGGGCAATTCGCCATCTGCCTCCTGCCATTCCTCCCCTCCCCGTAAATCTTTTGTTGCCGGAACTAGACGTTCTGGTGAATATGAGGTTGCCGCTGAAAATGGCAGTGCTGACTTCCTTTCTCTTCTCCCACTTGTAACAGCCAGGTAAGTTCAATATATGGCATCACATCCTCTTGAGCAACAGTCAGTGCGGTCAGTGATAACATGATGACATTCTGCATGGAGTAGTGTGTCCCAAACTTACAGGGGTGGGGGAAGCAGAGGAGACAGAGGGCAGCTGCTTTCAAGTGAGCTACCTGTGTTTGTTCACAACCTAAAGCCCATGAATAGCTCCCCGAGCATACCTGTCCCCAGTGGTGCACAGGAATCCTATACATCCAACATTTTGGAATACAGAATCAGTTTTCCAGAGCTCTCTTCATCTTGTAAAATGATAATTTACGGCGAGAGCGTGCCTGACTGGAATCTTCCTCTAAGCTGTTTTAAGCCTCACTAGGCAAAGCTCCTGAGATCAGCTTTTGGTCCTGTTTTAACATCTCTCCAATTACTCTGCAGGGCTTTTTAGTTATTTTATGAACAGAAGCAGCAATTATGTTAAGACAGCACTGAATCAGTTTGAATGTCAGTGGTATAGCATTACTCGTCTTTTCTGAGAAAACCCATCTAATCAAACTGCCAAGATGTTCTCTCATTGATGGTTAATTACTCTTTCTCTTAAAGTTATACTTCTGACATCTCAAGTTAATTTTTATTAATTTTCAATTCTACTTAGCGTCTACAGTTTATATTGTCTCCAGTTTTTGCCCAAAATGTTTCTGACACTCACAGTCAGGGGGATCATTATATGGGACATTCTGACCAAATTTCAGTTTGGATAATTAAGCCTCATTTTCTTGAAAGCATTAAGTTGCAGATAGTATTTCCAAGCCTTTTTGTACAATTGGTTGTCATAGGATAACTCTTGAATTGATTCAACACATTCAAGGGGACCTGAATGTCTTGAATCTGAGAGGGATGGTTTAAGTTGGTTGAAGCCCCCTCGGCGAAGGTGTTCAAGGACAGGCTGAGCATGTCATGAGTGGAGCTGGCTGGAGCTGGGGGTCAGAGTAGATGGCCCGAGAGGCCCCATCAGACTCGCTCTGTTTCTCTGTTTCTAACTTGGAGTGCTGCACTGAGCTGGAGTTTGGACCTGGTGGCCTTCCTGGCCCCTTTCAACTCTACTATTCTATGATTTTCTGGGTCTGAGAATGAGAGAGGGGTGAGGAGGTCTTGCTCCGATAAACTAGGAATTATAAAAGAGAAAGGTTTCTGCTTTCCTGTGTGGCCTGTTCTGTGCAGAGCTACCTGAGTTCTCAGCAGCTGGGCAGAAGGGAAAGGTTAGTGTTAGAGTGTGAAGCGAGGGGAGGGCGGTTGCACTGGTTTTCATAAAAGGTGCAAATGCTGATTCACAAGTTTAGCTATAGCCGTAGAAATAAGTGCAATTTAAATGGACATACATGTGGAAGGCTGCAAGCAGGAGATCTGTGTGTTTGCCTTCAGGTGTGATCCTGTGCATTTTTAAGCAGCAAAAGGGGCACCTACAACAAAATGGCACACTGGCTCGGGCACATTAGTATTGTTGGCCATTTTTTCTCTCTCATCACACCTAGGACCGTGCCCTTATGGTGATGTTCTTCCTGGTGGTGATACTAGATGCAAAGGAAGCATAAGTGTTTGTGGGAGGGACTTTCATCCAGGACTAGCAGGCTGCAAGTGAGGAAGGGTGGAGAACCCGGGACCTTTGACACCGGTCAGCGAAGATCAAGAAAGACAGTGTGGAGCTGGTCATGGCCCAGGGAGAGGTCCCAGGACAGTGGGGAGCACATTTCTTGCACACACCTGGAGCCTCTGCAATCCCATCTGTAACTGAAGATGCTCAGGGAGGAGGGCTAGTCAAGACTGCTCTCTGCTCCGATCCTTGTATAGCACTGCTAGTTTCGGGGATGCTGCTGAGGCCAGCTTCCTCTGTTCATGCATAAAATGACAGTTTCAAATCTGAGGACAAGATGGGCGCTGGGTTTGGAATGGGAGAGGAAACCAAGAAAGCTGTTTGAGGAGGGCATTGCATGGTGCAAATTGCATTTTCTGAGTTTTTGCTGCCACATCGCTCTTCTCTCTCGCTTTTCTGGGTGAGTTCCTTCTCCCATGTGGAAGAATAGGAGTGATGAAGAGGATGGCCAGTCTCTGGATTCACCTGAAGTATTCTCTTATTTTCTGTGACTGTCTCTTGATCTCCTAATATCCTCTGTCCAATATGATAAAATGGCCTTTCATATACTAATTGAAGTGCTGAATTTAAATATTCCTCCCATAAAGGAAAATGAAACTGATTTGTTATCCTTCTGTCAGGAACACACAGATTATTGGCTTCTGGTCATTTTCATGCTGCTTCGACTTACAGAACTGGATCACAAGAAAATTACAGTACAAGAAAAGGTTAGAGCCCCCATTTTGTGTCACCTAGATTGGGAATTGCAAGTTTATTTGGCACAAGAAGAGAACATTTGGAGCACAGCCAGTGCTTTCCCGTTTCCCCTGGCTGAGCTGAGGTGGGGCAAAAAGGCGGAGGGGCCTTTGGTTTCATTGCATGCTCATGGCCTTCGACGCATCTGGACGGTCATTGTGGGCAGACACCAAGATCCTTGCTCTGGCCCAGAGGAGCCTTGCTTATGTCCGCTGTTGACCATGCAATGACTTCTCTTCCCTGTTCACTGCTTTCCACGTCAGCCAGTGGACAGCATCCTCTGGATCATAATGCAACAGTCAGTGCCATGACTGCTCCTTGAGCTGGGTTGAATTCTCCCACTCATCTATAAACTGCTTGGAAGAAACGTAGAGATGAGCAGGACGGGGTGGGCCATCACACGGTAAACACCTGGAGAGGATGGACCGTAGCCTGACCATAAAGCCAAGATAAGACCATGAATAGCACCTTTCTGGATCGGACCAAGATGTATCTTTTCCACTAGTGGCCAGGAAGGCCTCTGCACATTTGTGAGCCGGTCACGGTGGTGGACATCTGTGGATACTTGTCCCCAGCGCCAGGCACTCACAACTGCCCGAAACACAGTGACTTCATTCTACTGTTGTTGTTAACAACTGAACGCAGACTCGCAATCCACGAGAAATGACAAGCTGTCCATAGATTTCAGGGTTAAACTCCCAACATACGGATGAATCAGGAGGAAGTCTATCCATAAGCACATTTAGGGGGCTATCCTGGGCATGTTGGACAGAAAAGGGACCCAGAATTCCCAGCGTGCCCTAGTTGTTGTGCCTTTAGCCACTTTTATTTATTTATTTATATTGCGATTTATATCCTGCCTTTTTCCTACAAAGGGCTCAAGGCAGCTTACATCATTCTCCTCCTCCATCTTATGCCCACAACAACAACCCTGTGAGATAGGTTGGGCTGAGAGTCTGGGCCTGGCCCAAAGTCACCCAGTTGGCTCCATGGCTGAGCGGGGACTCGAACCCGGATCATCTGAGTTCCAGTCCCATGCTCAGAACCACTACACCACACTGGCTTTTGCTCAAATCAGAGGCATTTCTGTAATTAATGAACTGATAACTCACCCTTTAATTATCGGGAGCAGGTTGCAGCTGTGAACAAGTACGACCCTCCTCCCGAAGTGGTGGCTGCCCAGGATCACATGACCCACATCATGTACAGCATGATGCAGCCACAGCAGGTCTTCAGCAGGTAACCGCCTCTTCCTCTCCCTTGGGCCTGTAGGTGGCACTCGAGTCAAGCCATGCCATGGATGGGATGCTCCTCAGCCTCTCGCACCCCTTCCTTTCTGCCTCTCGAAAAAGCGGCCCACGTTTCAGACACACCATGGCTGTCAGCATGGAAATTAGGCAAATCTTGCTTGGCTGAGCAGATTATGAAATGAAGTTAGTCGTTCACCTCAGAGCTCCAAGACAGATTGCCCACCGCTCCATTTCTTCTAAACCATCTGTCAGAGCAGATGGCCCCTCACACCATAAGCGAGAGTTTCGGGAGGCCCTATCAGTACCCAGTGACGATTCAGCACCCTTCAGGGAGCGATGAGCGTTTGCAGCTGCAGCTTCTTCGGGCTGCCTTCGCCACTCCCCCGTTGGAGGACTGGCATTCCACCGCGAACAAAATGGCCATCCGGCCCCTGGCGGGTTGCGGCGTGTTCTGTGGAGGCCAGTGCTGGGCCAGAACGGGGTCGCCAGGCTCCCCACTGAATAAAGGCCTGCCCATCGGTTTGCCTTACCTGAGGGCAGACAGCGCCTCCAGCTGCAGCCTTCAGCCTTCCTTTAAACGCTCCTGCCCTTTTCAAAAGTTGAATATGACTGTGGAGGCGATTCCAGTGCTGTTTTCGCCTTGCAGGTGCAAAATCGGGTGGTGTGGGGATCGTAGTTCCCAAGCAGCCTCGCATGGCTCATATGATTTCCCAGGCCAGGGCTTCCCCCGCCCCCCATCCTGGGTGGCAGCTCTGTTTTTTAAACAGACTCATGCAGCCTGCTGTGACCTCTCCACATGTGACTTTCTTTTCTGACCAGCCTGAGGCCATTTGGGCTGCCCCCTCTCTTCACTGAGCGCATCTTTCACCTGAAGGAGCAGCTCTTCCCATACCAATCTAGCCACTTCTCAAGAGCGTCTGCCAAGGCCCTCTTCCCAGGGCCGTCCTTAGGAAGCGTGCAGAATGCAGTTGCGAGGCGTTCTCAGCAGTGCCACCTTGGCTGCCTTAGAGGGCTGTACCTGGCACCCAGGTGCGGCCTTTTTAGTGCCGGGTTAAGGTGTGTTTGTTCATTACAGCAGGTTAATGTGTGCAGTCTCCTAACTGGCTTCAAATTTTTATCTGCCCTGGAAATGTGCAGCTGCTGTCTCAAAGTTGTTAAATGGTGCTGTATTAGATTAGTAAGTTAACAATTTATTATATGTATGCATTGTATACCATCCTGAAAGTTGGATTGATGGTTTAAAATGCAGAAGTATTCTAAAGGCACAATCCTATGCATGTTTAGACAGAAAGGGGTCCCACAACTACCAGCATTCCTTTATTTGCCCTCGATAAATAAAATAATATGTAATGGTTGCCAGTGCTTTACTCTGCTCTACTCTGCATATCCTCCACCTTAGAAGGCTTCTTTGTGACTTAGCTGCCCTCTAGACATCTCTCCATCTATGGCAAACACAATTGCATGTTGCATGTTAGTGAACTACCTTCCTTGGGAAACTCAAAGGTCAGAGATTGTGTGATCACCTCATCTCGTCACTGGGGAAGATTGGCAAAAACCAGCTGGTGGCGGCCATGGAAGGTGGAGGAGGGTGGACTGACATTGTTGAGGTTATGGTATCTGCACAGTCAGTGGGCTCTGTCAGGTGATGTGATGGCGTGAGGGTATCTGGAAGTATGCCCAGGGAACAAGAAAGGGATAAAGCATGGTTGATGCCCCATTTCTAACATTACAAAACGCAGCTGTTACTCAGAACTGTCTTCATCCTGAGTGAAACACAGGAAAGGAAAGTAGACAAGAAACCAGGCAGGTTTCAGGAAGAGAAGAGTCAGTGCCCCCCCCACCACCACCACCACTGCCGGTTGGGCATGGCATCCTTGATGACCATGTATGCAAATTAATTCAGCCTTGCTTTTCCTCCTGTCCATGCAGCACCCTGCCTAGTCTTGATGCCCCCTACCCCATGTTGGTGTTGACCGGACCCCTGGCCTGCTGGAAGCGAGAACTTTGCCACAGACTCTGCAGAAAGTTCAACAACTATTTCAGATACAGGTATAAACTGGTCCATACATGTTCATTGGCCCTTAGAGAGTTGCTGGATATAAAACAAGGCCATCTTCCTCCAGAAGTTAATTTGTATGGAAGGCGATTAAGAGCACAACCCCCTGCATGTTTAGGCAGCCAGCTTGCTCCAGCCCCTTGTGCCACTTCTAGTATTCTCTTCCCATCTTCCACTGTCTTCTGCATTGGATTAAGGGAAGAGCTGTGCAGTTTTTCATACAGACATGAGTTCAGTTCTAGTTCCTGGATGGGCCTCCAAGTCTCCGCTTTCAGAACACAACGGCTCCTAAGCAAAATTTAGCCATTCCTGGTGGGCCTGGTCATACAAAACCTGACAAAGTGCTTGGAGACCTCTGGTACTATATCAAGTTTTACAAGTTTAGATCTTGCTACATAAACCTTTCCACACATTTTAGTTCTGTACTCAACTGTCTGCGCCAGTCCATCAGCTTATTTATAGGCCAAACACTTAAAAAGAAAACTTCAGTTTGAGGAAGAAAAAATCAAATAGAATACATATTCAAGAAATTTTCCAGTATGAAAAACCTGCCTGGAATTTTGAAATAATTGAAAACTGGAGGGAAGTTTCCAAATGCTGTAAGTTTTCCAAGAGCTGTGTTGTGTATTCTTCTATATTTTACTCCTTCGTAGGTTATATGCATAAGAAGAACAGAGAATGACAGAATCTTAGCAGAGCAGAAAATTACTACCATAAAACAAAGTTGTCTTTTAATTATTCAGTTGGGAATTCTGTAGCATTAACTCCTTAAAATTTTAAATGTGCTACTTATTAAAATTGCATTTTTGTGGAAGATACGGGGCCAGTTTGAATGTAAGTATGATCCTGCTGTTAGAAGGCGCTTGTAACATGCCGAAATGTTTTTTTTTAAAAGATGAAATAGGGCATTCAAAACATCTGGCCAATGCCCAGAAACAACCCTTCAAGATGTGTATATTTCTACAGTCACAGAGAAAATCTATCCTTTGAAGTTTAAGCTTTATACAGTTCATGTGTCTCATACTGTTCTTTTTGATGCAGTTTAGGAAAGTCTGCCCCAACTTTATGCCCTCCAGATCTATGAATTAACATTCTTAGAAAACCCCAGCCAGCCACGCAGGCTGCCCGGTGCCAGGAGTGGTCATCCAACTCATCTGGAGGGAACCAGGTTGGGGAGAGATGGTGAAGGATGGGGTGGCAGCCCTTCCCAGAACTCGGCGATAGCAGGGCTGGCCAGCATTTTTGCGCCCTAGAAGGGCCGACAGGAGGCAGATGTTTTGGACTCGGGCTCCCAAAAGCTTCTGCCAGCAAAGCCAGTGGTCAGTAATGCTGGACCACTGGCTGCCTGGCCCTGCACTGGAACCGTTTCTGCAGAACTGAGATGAGGAGGATGTGGCACAGGTGAAGTTGTTGTATTTCCCTCCCACAAGGTTCCTGCACTGCACATCACTGCCGGAGCGCACTCTCCCTGTCACCCGTGGCTCCTCCTCCTCACTTTATACACGTATTTTGGAAGAGCCTGCTTTGATCTGATTGGAGTCACGGGTTCAGGACAGACTGCAGCGTGTGCATTGGCAGCCCTTCTGGCACGTGTCGCCTTCAGCTGCCTTTCCAGCGCCCACTTATAAGGAACAAGCTTGCTTACGAGGGGGGATGCGCCGTGAGTGTTTGTGTGCACTGCCTGGGCGTCACAGATGAGACGACAGCCCTGCCCCCTGCTTCTGGATGCCCAGAGAAGGAGCAGAAACCTTGAGAACTGTGGGAACAAGAACGCTTTAATAGGAACCAGAGTTTACCACTGGAAGCTGCAATGGCCATGAGTTGCCACCCCCAGAACCAGAGGCGTGATGTGTCTTCCCACCCGTAGCAGGGGAACACCCTTCCGGCAACTCCAGTGCCACTGTGCTCACGCCCTGCTTGTGGGCTTCCACGGACAGCAGCGTACTAGATCAGTCAGGCCTTTGACCTGATCCAGCAGAACGCTTCTCGTGGACTTGCCCTGAATGGGTGGTCCGGCCCGTCTAGTTCAGTGCGCAGACCGGCAGTAGCTCTCTGGAATTCCCGGAAGCCCTCTTCTCCAGCCCTCCCTGGAGCCTGAACCGAGCCACGAGTGCTGCCACTCCACCGCAGCCCTTTCCCACAGGAGGATGTTAGGAAACGGGCCATGCCCGGGGAACAGGAGCGGTTGGAGTACGCGGAGGATCTGGACCTGCCAGCTGGCGTGGAGCGCAGGCAGGGACGTGCCCGTGCTGGGAGTGGATTGCCAGAGGAGGAGTGGCGTGAGCAAGAGGCCGTGGTCTGCCCCAGGGAGGGGCCGCGCTGCCTGCTTATGCTCCCAGGAGGGGCAAGCCGTGGGGAGTGGGAGCCGTCCGAGGCGAGTGGGGAAGAGCAAGGCCAGGAGCGTGCAGAGCTGCCTCCGTGCTTGGAAGGGCAGCGGTGCTCTAAGGAGCAGCTCCGTCCCCTGAAGGCCTGGGCCAGCCCATGGCCGGTTTTTACGGGTTCTCCTTGGTATTGTCAAGGTGCCCAAGCGCTGCTGGAGTGCCCCTCCCCTTCTTCCCTGAGAGCTTGTGGCCCCCCAGGCGGTTTGACTCCCTTGGTAAAGCATGAAGGCAGCTGGGGGCCTGCCTTCCCCCGACTCCTCCAAGGGCCTTTCCAGCCCTCGGATTCTTGCAAGAGTTGATGTGAAGAACTGGGCCCAAGAGCTTTTCCTGAGCACAGGCTCTGCTCTTGGGCTCCAGCCCTTCCATTAGCTAATCAGCTGGGCCACGTTCAGTCAGCAGTCGGGCCGATTAAGGACATATTTTGCGGGTGGGGGACTGTTTTGCTTCTGATGTGTTGCTGTCATAACGGATCGAAAATAAAGCATCAAAGATAGCCATTCTTATTCTTGTTGCAATAAAGTCAATAAATTTATTCTGACCTTATGTGACAAATGTCTTTTCGTTATCTGTCCTGAATGTCTGTCCTGAATGTATTGTCAGTCAGTTTTACTGAATGACCCCAAGTTCCGTTATTGTGAGAGACAGAGAAAAACGCCACACGCTGTACCCCATTCATATCTTTATGCACCCTCCTTTTGTATGCGCATTTGGGGAACAACTTGGGGTCATACAGTGAGATTGATTGGCAGTGAAATCAGGACAGGGCAATGAGATTTACACCCACGTAAGTACAGATAAAAGTGCAGCCTTCATCTTTTCTCCTTAATGGCTTCTTCTGTTTCTGCACTCCTTATGTTTCAGTCCCTGCCATACCACAAGGTCTCCTTATTTTGGCGAAGAGAACAGATTAGATTACTATTTTGTGTCCCAGGAGGAGTTTGACAAAATGGTGAATACGGTAAGGCGTGATCCAATTTCCCTTTTTTTGGCTTCATGCCTGGAACTCCCATCGCTGCTCACTTTAGGGTAGGAGTACAGAAATTCCTTGGGGCCTAGAGATATTGGAGAAAATCTATCTATGGCATTATTTATGGATGAGAAAACTTTAAAGGCAGATTGAATTATTTCGAGAACGATCTTCCTAGTTCTTCCTTAGATGACCTGAACTCATTGTAAGTTGTGCTTCCTAGTCTGTGAAAAAGTGGCGTGCAGACTTGCAGGAAAGCCACAAAAGCCGAGTTTTCAATTGTTTTGAAAAATGTGTTCAACCATCCGAATCAACGCTGCTTTACCATGGCGTGCGGCAGTGTAGTCCTGGCCACGCCGGGAGGAACCTTGGAGCAGCCAGCCAAACTGCATGCTGCCTGTGTGACCTTAGTGCATTGCCTGGGAGCCTCGCAAGGGGATCTGACTTGGTGCCTTTGCAAACAGGAGGCTAGGCTAGGGAGCCTGCCCCGCAAAGACCACCTGTACGTTGCTTTGTCCTGACGGTGGACGGGCAACTTTGCCCTTCCGCTTCGTGGGACTCCGATCTGGGCCAGGGATTGGCAGGGGCCTGGACATCTCGAGAAGCACTGAAAAAGGAAGCCCTCCCCTCCCCTCACATTTCATGGTAATATGCAAAGGAGACATCTGGATGTCACCCCCGTGGTGAAATGTGCAGCCTTTTCCCATAGCTGGAGCGCATACTTCTCACTGCAGGAGAAAGAGGCTTCCTTTCTCTTCCGTGGGATGTTCCACCCCTTTAGGCCCCAACCTGCCTCACGGGCCGTTCAGCACACCCGCGGGGGCCTGTTGCATCCTGTCGCACGGGGCCCCTCCAGCAGGAACCAACCAGACCAGCCCCCTTCACTTTTACGACGGTCCTGCGGGAAGTACCTCTCTTTAATGTTCTCCCTTTCTCTGCCTCCTGCCAGCCTGAAATCCAGCTGTAGGTGATTATGCATCCACTGGCGTGTGTGTATATAACGGTGTGTGTATAATTAAGGTATTTGCATGCTGGTTCGTAAGATCCTGTTCTAGCACAATCCAGTCCATTTGGTCCATTTGCAACGTATTTGTTTCCTTGGCCTTTCAGGTCGCTCAGGCTTCATTCCTTTCCTTTCAGGGAAAATTTATTGCAACTTATAAATATGGTGATTTCTATTATGGGCTGGGTCGAGACACCATTGAGTCCATTGCTCGGGAGGGACTTGCCACCTGTGTTCACCTGGAAATAGAGGTAAGAGCCCCCCTCGGTTGCAGAGGCGTTTCTGTTAACGTCAGTTGCAGTTGTCTCACTGGACATCTCCGTCCCCAGGCACAGCAGAGTTTGTGCAATTGGAATTTGGGTTGTGATCTGGCTGCTGGGCCGTGCAGGAAGCCATGGAGAGTGGGCCCAGAACCAAGCCTTGCCGAGAGCCCCACACTGTTTTAGCCATGGCTGGCTCCCAGCTGCGACTGCAGACCAGGGGTTCTGAGCCTCCTCCAGCCTGGAGGCTCAGGCTGATTCTGGAGAAGCTCTTAGTGGCTGTACTGCAGTGATGGATGGGGTTCGAGTTTAAAGAAAACGGCCAAAAATACCAGAAATGCTTTTTTTAAAAACCCAACATATTTTGGCTTAAAGTGCTCAAAGCCAGTAATGATACTTTGGGAAGGTCCTTTCAACCTTTCCGAATGGTGGGGGGCAAGGGAAAAAGAACTGTGCAAAAGCCAAGAAACTACTCAACAACTGGGGGAAAGGGGTCAGGGGTGGGGGGTAGCTATCAGGGACCATTCTGGAGGGCTGGATTGGCAGCCCAGGTCAGCAAATTCAGTGCCCCTAGTTTAAATGCTCTCTCTGCCTGGCCAGCACGAGGCCTCATTTGCGGAAAACCTCCTGCTCGGGGTGCTTTGCTCAGGTTGGTTCTCTCCCACAATTCGCTATGGTATCCAAGGTGTTGAGATCCCGAGAGCAGGGACCTGGTTTGGGGTGATGGCAGAGTTGCTTGTGATCTAAAGTGCTTGGCTCACGAATGCGCATCCTCCGCCATTTCCAAAATATAAGAGAGATGTGCTTGTAACACAACAATTCTGATACTGGGAATCTCTGCCTGAGACCCCTACACATGCACGCACACACCAGTAGCACCATCACCATGTCCACCTTTGTGATGCATTGCTTTGCTGTCTTTCCCAGCACTTTAAAAGCTCACTGGCACTTGTCCTTTAGTTTGAAGACCCACTAGAAAATCCTCCAAGGGTCAGCTGTTAATAGTTCAAAATGTCCCTCCACAGGGGCATGGAGACTTCATTAGTGACCACGTGTGTGCATTTACGTGCTTGTGCACTAGCAACAAGATGTGCTTCTTTCCTTCTCCAAGATTTAAAACTCAGTGTCTGGAGAGGAGCTGAAGCCCGCATGGCAACTCTTGCAGTAGCCTTCCCCCCAAATTTGGCAAAAAACAGGGACAAGAGTTTAGCAGGGCCAGGTGATGCACATGTGAAGGTTATGATTAATGACGAATGTCGATGGGAGGGGAAGCCATTTATTTGGGCCCAGGCTGCATGGGCCCAATAACTGACATTTGTTTTAAATGTGGATCTGCCAAAACTGTATCTCATGCGGATCCCCACAATTCAGAGCATCACAAGGGTCTGGGAATGCTCTGAACTCTCCACCACCCACCACTCGTAACAGCTGTGGTTTGTCTGCCAAATGCTTCTGGCCCCCAGCTGGGCTCCAGCTCTGGAACGGAGTCCAGCTAGGAGAAAAGTGATTGAGGGAAGGAGATGGCTGAGGAAAACATGGGAGGTGAGATGGGGGGAAAGTTCAGCACCTTCTTCTTGAGCCCTTTTTGAACTCCCAGTCCTCCCTTTAGAGGCAGAGCAATGTTTGGGAGTGGGTTTGCCACCATCACACATGTTGTGGCCCTCAGGGTGGCCCCCACCAATGTCTCTGTGCAAAGGGCAGCAGCACCTGGAAGGAGACAGAGCGCTTTCTCCTCACCCCCCCCCCGCACCCCCACCACCACCGCAAGGAACTGCCAAGCATCTGATGATGCACTGTGCCAGCCTTCCCCAACCCGGTGCTCTTCCGAAGTTTTAGATTACTGCTCTACACATTGGTGTGCAGCATTTCGAAGAAGGCCATGTGGTGTGCTGTTCAAATGGCTCTGCCCACATGCTTAGTTTGAGCCAAAGCAATTTTCCAGATCACTGCCCACTTCGGAGGGTGATGATACATGTGAGAATAATTCAGAGGGAATCCAGCCTTCTGATTCTGGCTAAGCACCAGCTCTTGGAGAACCCAAACTTTATGCTTCACTGTCTGTCATGTTGATCTGGGGCTATTCGGTATCTTTTAACAACTTCATTCAAGACTCCGAAGGTGAAATGCCGATGGTGACCGAGCAAAACCTTCTCTCTTAAAGGGTGTGAGAAGCCTGAAGAATTCCTACTTTGAACCACGCTACATCCTACTGATCCCCACGAACAAAGAAAAATATGAGGGTCACCTGCGAAGAAAGGGACTGTTCACTAGGCCAGAAATCGAAGAAGCAGTCTCTAGAGTGGACACGTACATCAAAGTGAACCAGGATTTCCCGGGGTTCTTTGATGCCGTCATCAGCATCGGTTAGTCAGGCCCTTTCAAAATTGATTCTCCTGTGCTAAAGCAGGGATAAGGAAACCTTCCTTTGAAGCAAACAAGAAGCACAGTTTGCCGTGACCTGTGGAACAGTCTCATAGCGAACAGTGTAACCTCTCAAATTTCCTTTCTTCCTGAGGTATTAGTGGAACTTAAGTGAGCTTCCAGGACAGGAGCCAGCATCCAAGAAACCTGGGCAGGTACTGCCATGAGCCTCAGGGGCAAGAACTACAGTAGTGCAGTTTTGGGTCAGACTCAGTGGACCACCAGGTTCAGCATTCTCACTCCTGATAGCCTTCAGTTGGGAATTTAGGCAGCAGAACCCTGGCACTAGAGTATCTGTATCATCAAAAGAGACAAGAAAGATCCACCCAGCTTTCACTTGCACTGATTGCAATGTGTAGAACCCCCACGTTGAGGGAAAGAACTGGTCGGTTGTAGTGATAGGGCATTGCAGTAGGTTTAGGAAAAAGGAATCGCATCTCCATGCAGCCATGAGGCTGGATGGCCTCGGGACGGATGCTGTCTCTCAGTTTCACTTAATGGGCAGTATTGTTGTGAGGATAAAACACAAACTACGCTCACTACCTAGAGCTCTTTGGAAGAAAGACAAGGTACAACGCAAGTAAAGAGCAGTGGAAGGCCGTAGAAAGTTAAATGCAGTAGGCAGGCCCAGAGGCTCTGCTTCTTGGGAGAACTTTGAAATGACTGTGCCTGCTCACCCCAAGCACTCCTTTGCTCACTGGAGTGGCCCTGCTTCTGCCATGGGCTATTGGGAAAGATACCATGTGGTCTTCATAAGGAAGAGCAAGTTCAGGCCACTGGTTGACGTGGCAGGGATGAGCATGGAGATCCAAGCAAGCTGGCATTTGGCAGATGAGTGCACTTGGCTCGGAACATGCCAGAGTTGCGTGGGACAAGCCTTCGGGAAGCTCAGCACTCCAAGTGATGCTGGACCATAAAGCAATTTGGTGCTTCCTGTTCAGATTCCATTTGCTGGGGAAGCGGTAGACGGAAGGAACACCAGGAAGGCGAGTGCAAACTTGACCAGAATGAAGAGGGTGACACTGAATAGAGGTTCATATTTGATACCCGCATCCTGCCAGAGCCGAAGAAATGATGCTAGGGCCCACTGGGCATTTCTTGAAGTGAAATTATAGCTGTAATGTCGCGCTTTGGCCGCAAGACCCCCAGAGCCTTTAAAAGTCATAAAATGTTCGGACCTTCAGCAGATGCAGCCTCACCCACCACGATGTTCCCTGGCAGGGAAGCCTGTCACTGCTTGATTTCTCCCACAACTTCTTCAAAGGGGTTGCCACCTTTCCTCCTCAAATTCAAAAATACGTAGCTTATATTTTACTTTGCAGATAGAAGACACACTTCCAAAATACTGCAACAGAAAAGGCTGTAAGTTGTACTTGTGTGCCTTTTAGACCTTAGAAAATAGATACGATTTGCCTGTTGCATATCTTATCTCGGTGTGTCTATTGAATTTCTGCCCTTTGCACATATTTAAAAACTCAGGTCTAACATTTGTTTTACCTTTGGAGAGAGAACATGATTATGTCAAAGAACTGCAGCACATGACAGCCTCTTCCCTGGCTTTCCTTGAGTTAATTTATAAGTATCCCCAGCTTGCTTGCCTTGCCCATGGAGAATTCAGCCAACGGCACTCAGAAACCATAAGTGCCACTGGAGGCATGTTGACCGCTTCCTCCTCCATAGCTGGCTGTCCATGGAGGAAGCAGGGACAGAGTCTGATGACCTGAGGATACCAGGGCGCTGCTAGGTGCGGCAGAATTGCCATCCAGTCTGGCATCCTGCCTGGCACGGTGGCTAACCTGATGCTCCTGGGAAGCCCGCACAGAGGGCCCGAGGGCAGCCATGCTCTCCCACCAGCTGCCCTTTTCGGGGCCTCTTGTGCTTCCTGCTCTAAGTTGTAGGTGCAGCACAGGTGGGCGAGAGGTCCACTGGGATTGTGGGCTGGCCGGCAGCTGCTGTTTCGCGCAGGGGCGTGAACTACCCTTGCCCTGTGTGACTCTCCTCCTCTCCCTCTGCCCATCCTTCATGCTGTTCAGATGATTATGAGGAAGCCTTCGCTCAGCTGAGCCGCCTCATCGCGGAGTTCCTGGGCCTAAAAGAGCCTTCAGAAACTGGGGTCGCCGTCCCTGCCCCAGACCGTCGTCTCCCTTCAGGTACAAAGCGTGGCGCTGCCCAGCACCATCCACGGGCCTTGTAGGAAGCAAGATGGGAAGTGGCCACGGTGGGCGCCTGCAGGTCTTTGCCATCGTGATTGAAGGCAGTGCTGGTCAGGCATGCCCGTGATGGTGACTGGGAACAGGGTGTTGCTTGCTTGCTTGCTTGTTTTGAATAAGTTTTATTCTTAATATATACCTAACAAAAAAACCTAAAAAGCACCAATCATCGAAAACATCAGACCTACAGGGTATTGTTATGCCACGCTGCAGACGTTAAAACGCACCATACCAGCCTTCACCAGCTTGGCACTCCTGCATCCCCAGGAGTTGCAGTCCGGTACAACCAGACCCCCCACCCCCACCTCACCTTGTGAGCCCATTTCCACAGAAGAGCTTGGCACGTAGAAACCGTGGGCAGTTTCTTCCTAAGAACTGCTGGCTGGTGGAATTTAGAGGGTCTTCGCTGGTTGGAGAGAGCCGGCTTAGAGGGTCCGGTCACTCAGCTGTCTCCAGATGTTGTGGGCTTCACCCTTCCCAAGCCTCTGACAGTATGGTCAGTGGTCTCTCTCACACACACTTCCGTTCGCACACCCTCCACACACTTTTTCCACCTCCTCAGTGTACAGCTGAATGACTGGGGAGGGATTCTCTCTTGGAATGCTCCTGGAACGGTAAAGGTTATTCCCGTGGCCCTAGTGGGAAGTCTCTCCCTGCCTCTGACTGGTGGGTTGGTGCTGGTGGGAGCCTTTCTTCAGCCTAATTGACATGTAGGCTGCGGGTTCCCAGTGGTTCACGGTGCCAGAAGAGCATGAACAGGGAGGGAGCTAAGCAAGGTCAGTGGACTGTGTGCTACCTCAGAGCTCTCGGGGCTCGTTTTGTGCTCTGTGCTTTGTTCCACTTCTTCCAGACAACCCCAACTGGAGGATTTCATCTCCTGGTAGCTGGGAGCTCCAGTGGAAAGTCTCCTTTGAAAGAGGCCTTTAATGGGCACGAGAGCCCAAAGTTTACAGAACCCAAACTGGTTTTTTTTTTTATGCATGATTGAGGAGGGCAAAGGAGTGCACAAGTTCCCTTGCCTCAGCATTGTGTGTTGTGCCATAAACCATCTGATGTAGCTTGAAGGGGCTCTTAATGTCCTCTAATGTCTTGCCGTCCTGTCAATTTACATTTCTTTGCCAACCGCAGCAACTTCATTAAGAGTGCTGAGTTTGGGCAATTCCGCTGTCCATAAAAGTAACTTTAAAATTTACTATGCTTCATTAAATTCATTTAGAGCTTCATTTGTAGGTGTTTCAAATAAATGTAATGATCCTATTTTGGAAGAGAGAGCTTCTTATGGATGAGACTTTTTTTTAAATCTTGCCTCGAGGTTGACTCTTAATATGAACATTTGCAGTAAGATTCTAATAGGGGAGATTGGTTGTTCGATATAATAGAAGGCTATTTCATTTTTTTCTCATTTTTTTCTCATAATGAACAGACATCCAAGAGGTTTTGTTAATGGGCAGAGCAGAGACACTGGGAGAGGTGGAAATGGAGACCCAGGGAGAGATTAAGGGGAACAGTGGTTGCTCGTGGTTGTCTCTAGCCCACCCTGTCTTGCTGCTGGAGAATCTAAATGAAGTTTAAAAACTATTCCCCCATCTGAAGCCCACCGAAATGTCCATGCACAGTTCATGCTAAGGAAAGAAGAACATCACAGTGATTGCACCCAGGAGAGGCCAAGCCCTGGGAGGCCATGTGGGTTGGATGGGTGGACCTTACTGGGAACTGGGCTTCTAAGGGGACCTAGGCTGCGGAACCTCAAGCCCATTCCCCACAGCAGGAAGGAGGCCAGCTGGTCATGCCAGAGGCTGTTGACAGAAACTTTATTTCTGTACGGGGTGTCCAGATATTGCATCTTTCAGCTAGCGGAAGCCTCATTAGAAAAGAACAAGCAAGTTTCGAAGCAGTGAGCTCCCGGAGAAGGGGGTAGAGGTGGGGCTGTAGAACTTGCAGAGAGACGCAGACACAAAACCTGTTCCCTCAAGAGCTCCATGTGCCACAGCTCCTTCCTTCCCCCCAGCGTTTCCTGTGCACAGGCAGGTGGAATCAAAGGGATGCCTCGGCTGACTGGCTCCAGAAGCATCCTAAAGACAGGAACACTGAGGCGGACTGGCAGCCATGCAATGTTTGTGGGTCAGTGAGTCAGGCCTCTGCTCTTAGACTGCAGTGTCCAGGGGTCATTGCTACTCGACTCACCTCTGGTTAATATACCATGTCTCTTCATAACTCAAATCAGGCAGCCAGGAGCGGAAGGTCTTGAACAAAAACAACTGGATGAAGAGGAAACATTACACTCAATCCCTCATTCTTTGCCCCCAGAAGAGTCAAAAAAGTGGAGGTCTTGTTAGCATGTTCTTCGGGGCCTGGGGAAATAATGTCTGCATCACACCCACTCCCAATTTCTAATTCTGTTTAGGAAGATTGATGCCACTTAGAGAAAATTACTGTTGTCTGAAAGCAATTTCAGGTGTTACCTTGGCAGCCCCATTTGCTGATGGGATCTGGGCCCTTATGGCCATCAGCAGATTCCTCAGAGTAGTACCCTTTTTGGTTCCATTTCCAGGCACACGGTCCCTGCAGGAATTGCGTCAGTGAGAGAATGTTGGAATCAGCCATTGGTGATATTAACGCAATGTCAGATTGAAATGCAAAATATGTACTTGCAAAATAAACAAACCAACTTGGATCTGCTTGTGAGAGCAGAAGCAGAAGCAGTAGGCAAAAGCTTAATCTCCTTTGCTATCAACTTCCTTGGATCTTCAAGACATTTATAACACCTTGGTGGCTAAAGGCTTTTCTGTGGTGGCGCCCCATCTATGGAATGCGCTCCCCAAAGAGGTCCGCCTGGTGCCGTCATTATTTGCTTTTCGGCTCCAGGCGAAGACCTTTTTATTTAAAAGTTATTTTAACTGTTAATTAGTATTATTATTGTATTTATAGATTTTAATATATAGCCAAGATGGTACCAGTTTTTAAATTATTGATTGTATTTTTATTTATGTTGTGAGCCGCCCCGAGGCTTTGTTGCGATGGGGGCAGCATAGAAATGTTTTAAGTAAATTAAATAAATAAAGGAATTTCAAAACGCAAAGAAAAAGCTTCAGAGCAGCCCGACACAAAAGCTTCAGTCAGGGTTGTGGGTGACATTTTTTAAAAAGTGGCAAGAGGGCATTTATTTCAAGTGAGCCTCTTCAGGAGGCAACTGCAGCCTGCCCAGTTGCTATTAATACATGGCATTTTATCCCACCTTTTTCCTCTTTGGAGGAACCCAAAGCAGTTTACATGGTTCCATCCTATCCTCACAACAACAGCCCTGTGAGGTAGGTCAGGCTGAGAGTGAGTGACTGGCACAAAGTCGCCCAGTGAGCTTCATGTCCGAGTGATGACTAGAACTTGTATTTCCCAGGTCCCCAGTCCAACGCTTTCACCACCATGTGGTGTAGTGGTTAACAGCATGGGACTGGGACCCAGACGACCTGGGTTCTAGTCCCCGCTCGGCCATGGAGCCAACTGGGTGACTTTGGGCCAGTCACAGACTCTCAGCCCAGCCCTGCCCACAGGGTTGCTGTTGTGGGGATAAGATGGAGGAGGAGATGTAAGCTGCCTTGAGCCCTTTGTAGGAAAAAGGCAGGATATAAATAAATATATATATATATATTATTTACTCTTCACGTAATGGCTCAAAGCTGACATTGAGAGCGCAAAGACTGAATGGGCTACAAGCTTTTTTTTAATGGAGCCAGTAAGCACATTAATCCCTCTTCCAACCTCAGTAAAATTATCTGCTCTTTCATAGCTCCGAGCAAAGACTTCTCAGCAGGTGTGAAGGTACCCAGCATCAGAGGCACTGACGGAGTAGCGCCATCACCCACTCCTGACGAGTTTTTGGACTCCTCAGCCAAGAATTACTCTGCTGTCATATCAGCCAAACTTTCAGCACAGAAAACACCCGTGGTAAGTGAAGGGAGAAGTTTTCCCCTGATCAGTCTTAACGTAATGGCTTCTCCAAAATCTGTGTGGTTTTCTTTAAAGGCCATTGAAGTGGACAGCAACCTAGAGAATAGCCCCGACCTGGCTTGGCCTGGCCTGTGTTGAAGAAGAAAGCGCTGAGGCTCTCCCTCAAGGGAAGAACTTCAGTCATCCAAAGCCAATGTTGATCGTTGAGCTGTTCAATCAATTTTTCAAACAGTGGACACAAAGTCCCCACTTTCTTTTAGTTCGTATGGATTTAGGCAGGGGCTGCGTGGCACCTCTGCGGAACGACTTACCGTTCCTGTTCATGGCTCATTTGGGAAGCCTGCTGATACTTGGAGATTCCTGTTCAAAAATTCTTAAGACAGTTCATCAGATTTTGAATTTGCATATGGCAATCAGAGGCAGATGCACATGGCATTTCAAGCTTCTCCGATTAATGCTGAAAGTTAAAGTAGCATTTAATAATTTTAATCCCAACTTTCTGTCTTAAATTGAGCTAGTTTAGGGGTGGTTTAGGAATGGTATTCTGCTGTATCTCTCTTGAAACTGTGGCCCCTGGAGCGGACTGGGCAGGCAGTGCAGTCAGGGTATTTGTGAGAACATAGGCAGCCAGGGCTTAAAGTGGATTTGTACAATGGGCACTTGCCAAACGAGGCAGAAGCTTTGCAAGGCCTTTCCTCCCACCCTGTGGCCTGTGATTGCTTAACTGGAGGTGCCAGAGAAGGCCAGTACAAGCCCACTGAGAAGCGAGCCGGGGTGGGTTGCTCTGCAGACCAGCCAGAAGAGCGGCTAGGGAGGACCAGAGTGGTGGTTCTCCTGTCTCTTCTCAGACCTCGTTGGCTCACACCCGCCAGGACTAAAGATGTGTGTGCAGTCGGGCAGGGGGTTCACCCCCGGATCCGTCTTCTTCCAAATTCCACTCCACCTTGGCAGGAGTGGGAGGGTAGAAATGGTCAGCTTCTCGATGCCGGCTCTTGGGCTGCATGAGTCAGAGTGGCCGATCGCGGGAAATGTGCAGAAATCACAGAGCACCCCATTGTGGGCCACCCACCACTGCTGGCAGTGCCTGCCCGAGTGCAGCACGGTCCTCCATGGGGGCAAAGCTCCCGGCCCCCTCCAGTGCTAATCCCCTCCTCCAGTGAAGTGGGGCGGAGACGGGTCAGTGCGCCACACTCAATCCGTCCAGCCCTGAGCAGACGGGGCCTAGGATGGTTCACTACATCAGTCATGGCCTGACTAAGCCTGGCTCTGATCCTTGGGCCGAAGACTCTGACATGGAATTGCGTACCCGCGAAAGAATCCTGCAAGACTGCCCTGCAGCCTTGACTATGCGCAACCTTGCCCGACTTCTCCGATTTCTGTTATACCCACTCCCCATGTATAGCCCCTATAACGTTTGGGTGCTTGCTTGTTATTGCTCTGTGCTGTCGGGTCCTTTCTGACCCTGTGAATGAAGCGCCCCTCTTGGAAGCATTTGTGGTGGGGGGTTTAAGAGTGTCCGAGGAGCCAGGGCTCTGCCGCTCAGAGGCCAGGCTATCACTGGGCTGGTCCCTTCGCAGGGTCGCCCAAGGCAGAATGGTGAAAGAGGCGACGGGCGCGTGAGCAGAAGCAGGTGGACCCCTCTCATGGAGGGGGGGGGGGGCAGGCACACTTCCCAGGGGCTGCTACTGGGCAGCCGTGATGGTTGAGGGTGACCCTGGCAGAGGCGCTTTCACAGACACCGCTGTGACCCTCAGGCGCTTCTGGTTGAACTGCGCAGAAGAAGGGAATGATAAACCTCCCCTTGAAAACCCTGTAATGGAACAAGCCAAAATTGAACAAGAGTTCAGCAGCTCATAGTTCCATTCAAAGGGTCACTATAAGTTGGCGGCATATAAGAACAGCAGCAAACAACTGAACCCCTTCCAAAATGGCCTGTCCTTGACAGCCCTGCTTGGGGCTGTAAATCTTGTAAATTCAGGGCTGTGACTTCCTTTATGGAATTGCTCCAAACCTTAGTCGGTCTTTCTGCACTTCTGCCGATGACGCTCCCTAGCAGGGTTGTCTTTTTCCGTGAATCTTGTCTTGTCATGATGTGTCAACAGCCCAGTAGCGTCCGTTTGCCTTCCGGGGCAAGTTCTGGCCTGACTTGATCTAGGACCGAATCGTTTGTCCTTTGGTCTGCCCAGGGTATTCACAAAGCTCTTCTCCAGTACCATGGTTTGAATGCGCTCATTTTCTCCCCAGTCAGCTTTTACACCCCTACATAGTGATCCGGAATTAAGTGGTGTGAATGTCCGTGGCCTTGGTCTCCAGGGGAAGGTCTGCGCACGGGACGATCTTTTCCGGTTCCTTCATTGCCACATTACCTTCTTCTCGGCTTTCACTGTTTGGCCTGGACTGGAGGAACCGTTCCTTTCCTCTGACTGCTTTCTGCCAAGGGGCAGTGTGTGAAGTGGGATGATGCCGTGCAAATATCCTTCTGTCTCTGTGATTAAATCTAAGCAGTGCGTCGCAGCAGGAGGAACCGCATGGGGCTTCAGCAGCGTGGCTGCTTCGGATGGGCTCCAAGGGCAGGTGCTTTCGCCTCCATTCGCTGGCCCTGAAGGGCTTACTGGGCCTCAGGTCACGACGCAGCCGGAGAAGGGAGCGCCGCTCGCTGGCTGGGCCAGAGCGGTGCCTGCTGAAGCACCAGACCTTTCCAACTTCAGAATCACAGGCTGCGGGAAAAGACTCCCCTCTGCGTCTCTGAAGAGCTGCTGCAGTGCAGGCAGCCCTGGGCCGAGGAGCCAGTTACTTGACTGGCGTGAGGGAAGAAGATTTATAGCACGGCTAAGCGACTGTTTTCCTCCAGGGGAGGGGCTGTAGCTGAGTGGCAGAGCGCACGTGCTGCATGCCGAAGGCGCCCACTTCTACCCCAGCATCTCCAGTTGAGAAGAGGCAGCCGCAGGCAGCAGTAAAGTGCGCAGCCTGAGGCCCCGGGGGCCTCTCTAGCCGGCGCTGGCCTAGGTGGGGCCTTGGCCCAGCCTGGTGGTGCAAGGCGCCTTCCTGTGTCCGGGCTGGCAGTGGGCTGGAGCAAGAGAAGGCCTGTGCCGGCAGACGCGCCACTCTAGAACGACGGTGTCACAATGCCGATGCTCCGCTTGGCAGGCCTGGCAGCTGCAGAGCCATTGCTCACCTTCTCTGCTGCTGCGAGATAGCGCTCCAGATGGACAAGAGGCGGCCAAAGCCACTCGTTAGCAGGCGGTTCTCATCCATGTGGAGAGAGGTAGGCCGCAGAGGTGAGAAGGGGCAGTGCGCAGGCGCCCGCCCGGTTCCTGTTGCTTGAGTGGCCGCCTTGCCTGCAGGAGCCTGGCAGGGGCTTTTCCCAGACCCCTCCTCATGCCAGAGAAAGCGTCACCCATGGGAACCTCTGGTTGGCATTTTTATTGGCAGTGTAACGCCTGATTCGTTGGCATATCAAGCGATGCTCACCCCAAACAGTCCTCCTGGTGCTCTCCCTGCCATCATGTTCCAGACTTCCTCAGATAAGCTATGTCCCGCCTCTGATATATGTTGCATTTTCCCCACGGAACGTATTTCACGGTGTGCCAAACTGCTGGAGGAGAGGCTTCAGTGGGCCGGGGTGGAGCGTTCAGGGGGAGCGTTGCTGCAAGAGGAAGCGCCTGTCAGGCTCCTTTGAGGACAGGCAGATTGGCTGCTTTCTGCGTCCTTCCCAAGTTGCTGGAGAGGGAATGTGGGCCTGCACCCCCCCGCTTGTCCGCAGAGAAGCTGCAGTGGGCAATGCCTTGCCGAGCCGTCCCTGCTGCCTGCTTCTTCGTCCCGGATGTCAAGGAAAAGCCAGCCGAAGCGCTTGTCCCCTCAGAAGTAAATTGCGCTATCTTCAGTGGCTTTACTCAGAAGTAAACCACATTGACTTCAATGAAGTCACTACGGGAAGGCCGGCACGGAAGAGGGGCTGCACTCCCTTGTTTTTGGGTGGGAGGGAGGGGGTGCCGGTCCTGCTGGCTTTACCCCATGGGAGGTGGGAGGGCAGCAACAGCGTTCCCTCCTTGCTCCGTGATTTTTTGTAAGCGGGCAGGACGAGCTGCCTTCCTCCCTTTCAAAAAGCCTCTGCTTTGGCCGAAATTCACATTAAAAAGAAGGACTTAAACACGTCTCCACCCCTTCGCCCTTGTGCCTCACTAAGCGATCGAAAACTGAAGCGTTCGCTTTAAAGTGCCGCGTCCCTGAACACATCACCCGTCCGGCTCTTCCTGCTTCTCCCGTAATTGTTATTGGCATGCGACACGAGATCGCGTTCCCGGCACAGTGGGAACTACGCTGCAGCCGCTGCCTTGTGCCCCAGCTGCGAGAAGCGGACCTTGCGTGAGCACTGAGGCCGTGCCTGCTCGTAAACAGGGGGGGCTCTTGGGCAGAACTCCCCCAGGTTAATTGTATGTGCCAGGCTGGTGGAAAAGGCACAAGATGGGCCAGTGAAAATGCGGCAACCTGGAGTGGCACAAATGCTGCCAGACTCGGGCAGGATTTTTTGTGACAAGTTAGCCAGGATCACTGATGGAGCACATTTTGGAGCTGGGGGGCCCAAGCTCAGAGTCTCGGTTCCGTGCATTGGGACCCCGTGGGCCAGTCCCTGCATCTCAGCCAAAACAAGCTTTCAGGTCTGAGGTCGTGGGGAAGATGGGATGGGTGTGCTTGTAGAGGGTGCTCGGGCTGCATTCCTGGAATCAGTGGGAAGTAATGGAGAACGTCTGGCCACCTTTACAGAATCTGATTCCAAGCAGTCCTGGGCGCACTTGTCCCTGAGGGGGTCAGCCTGGGCCGCACCCCTTCAGGTTAGCTTCCACCACGCCATCGAGCTTTCTCTGTGCAGGTATTTTGTTTGCGGGTAGTTCAAATATGCAGGACCCACAGCCGCAGTCTGAAGCAGAGTGATCCAGGCAGAGAGCCCCTCTCTTTCGAATCCTAGCCCTCGTCTCTGCCCTTTTACCACCTTCCCCCTGCCAGGGGACTTTATCCTAACAGGCTGACTGTGCTTCTCCCTCAGGAGGAGGCGTCTCTGCAGAGGAGGCAACGCACAGCCAAGCAAGGCCTGCTGGGGAAGGCCATCAGTTCGTACTCCCAGCTGTTCCAGAGGTACGAAAAGGCGGTAAAGGGGCTGCAGGGGTTGGGCGAGAGCAAGAGGACACTGAAGATCTGAGGCTCCAGAAAGCAAAGCCTTTGTGTTAATCTTTTGCGGGACTTGACAGCCACACTTGTAGCTTCAGGGTCACCGGTTCCTGACCACTGCCATAATGCAGTGCAGAAGTCTGAGCACATGATTTTCCAAATATGTTGCAGTCACCATGAGGGCCAGAAACTTGGATTCTTTTTTTTTTCAAAGGGCAACAGAATCTCCGGAATCTAAACTTAGAATTCTGCCAACGATTAGAGAGTGAGGAGAAATTTGGTAAGCTCACATTGTATGCAGGTTGAACCCACCAGACAGGCACCAGGAGCAGTCAAATGTTGGTATCTGCAGTTTTCCAAAGTTTGCGCATTTGAAAAATGCACAAAAATGTATATATTGCAGAAAAGCAGCTATAAGGCTATTTCTTTGGGGAATGTTGCCTGCAAAAATGCATATAGAAGAATACTTACAAAATGCATATATTTCATAAAATCATAGAATGGCTGAGTTGGAGGGGGCCACAAGGCTCTTGGGTCCCACCTTCTGCACAGTGCTGGACCCCCAGTTAAGCCACCCCTGACAAATGGTGGACCAGTCTGAGAAATGTGAGTAAAGTATATGGAAGTACATTATACGTTTTCACATGGACTTTGCCAAAAGATTACAAACTCATGGGCAAACCGGACTGAATAAATGTAACTCTGAACAATGGAGAAAAGTAGCAACATTGAACTTAAAGAGCCACCCTTCTGTAACTGTGACATCCCATGATTTTTAAAATTGCCAGACAAGAATAGGACCTGGTTTCCTGTTGCAGGAGTAGGGAGGAACCGAGCCCAGGAATCACAGCAGGCAGAACATCCCAAAGGAGAATTGCCCGATTTACAGGGCAACTCTGCAAAGGCTTTTGGGTGGGTGCCATCAAGCCATCTCCCCTGCGGATGAAGGCCCCGCAACACGTCCTGCCCTCGGCCTGCCTGCTCGGCTCCAGCAAACGCACGGCCGTGCTTTCCTTGATGGGGCCCATCCACCCCATAGCCAGCCTCCTTTTTCTTCTTCTGCCTCTGACATGCCGTCGCACGGTTGTCTTCCCCCCGAGTCTTGCCTTCTTGGTGGGGGCCCAAGTAGGACAGCCTCAGTTTTGTCCTCTTTTGCTCCCAGGGAAAGTTCCGGCTGCTTTTCCCACTGAGCTCAATAGGACTTTTTCTCAGGCACTGTGTATGGGACGCCAGCATAGGGGACTGACCGCAGCACTCATTTCTAGGCGTGGGGAACAACTTCGCCCTCAGGGCAAATCCCATTTCGGAGAAGCCCCGAGCAAACAGATTCCAGGCGCAGCCAGAGCCAAAGGCAAAAAGGAAGGGGGAAGATTCAAAACAAGGAAAAAGCCCAATCATAGAATCATAGAAAGGTAGAGTTGGAAGGGGCCATGAAGGCCATCAAGTCCAACCCCTGCTGTTGCAGGACACCCATTTACACCATCCTACCATGGGGTTCCCTATGTTTTGTTGATGTTGTTAGTCGCGAAGTCATGTCTGACCCATTGCGACCCCATGGACAACATTCCTCCAGGCCTTCCTGTCCTCCACCATCCCCCGGAGTCCACCCAAGCCCACACCCACCACCCCAGTGACTCCATCCAGCCACCTCATCCTCTGCCGCCCCCTCCTTCTTTTGCCATCTATTGTTCCCAGCATCAGGCTCTTCTCCGGGGAGTCCTTCCTCCTCATTAGGTGCCCAAAGTATTTGAGTTTCATCATTTTCGCTTGAAGCTATTCTTGCTGGCAACTAAGCCTTAGAAAAGGCATTTCAGGGTATTACCAGGGGTCAGGTGGGCAACAGCCACAACACCAGGCAGCCTGGTGGAGGTGGACAGGAGGCACCAAAGGCTCCAAGGGGGTCAACATTTGGCTGCCATGCCTGGGGTTCCCCACCCGTGCTGCGCACTGTAGGAAGATTCTCTCTGGGATCGTATGCCTTTGAATCCTTCCCTTTGGGAAGACTGAAGAGCAGCCAAGATGCAACTGGGCAGCCGCCTGGGAGGGAGGGCTTAACTCAGTGTCCTGCACTGAGCGGGGGTTGGACCCGATGGCCTGCCGGCCCCTTCCAACTCTGCTCTTCTGCGATCCTGTGATAATCCCTCCCAGCTATTGTTCATTCTTTCATATGCTCCTTAAGAATTATGCATGAATTTCCATTTTTAATTGCAAAAACATCACACACACGGAGGCCATTGACAAGATGATATGGAATGTTGACTGCTACTTACTGGAAAACCCTCTGATGCCAAATGCTTGATCTTGAATACAAAGTGTTCCCTGAATATCAACAGCTGGCGAATAATTGGAGAATTTATTTCAGGTCTAGTTAGCAGAGAAAGAAAAAGCAGGTGAAGGATGGAGATGCCAACAGCACATTAGCCGCAGAGCTGAAATTTGTACTCTGTGCACATTTCTCTTTGTTCAGCATCATTTTCAGGACACCCCCTTGTATAAAAGCTTTACAGAATTATATCATTAACATGTCATTCTCCAGTTGCGAAATTGGCTTTATTTTGGTGCAAAGTTTAGGATTTGGGCAAGTATTAAATATATAAGGTTGGATCAGCTCCAGAAAGGTGGCTCTCACTTTAAATTCCTCCCCCATCCCGGTCCTCAGACATAGCTGAGCAGAATGTTCATTCTTTGTGAATGGGTCAAAGGAAAAGTCAAACTCTCTGAAAACTAATCGCAAAAGGGCTTCAATAGATTATTCTGCCTTTTTCTTCTCGTTCCCCACTCCCAGACTATGCTCTTGGGGAAAAAAAAAAAAAAAAAACCTGCCTTAATTTAGAACAGAAAGGGCTCTTTCAGGGAAAATGGTTCTTTACTCCCAGAGTTCAGCAATGGCACCTAAACAAGCTTCGTGCTTCTCTGTTCGACCACTCTGTTGCCAGGATACAGGGAATGGCTTTTTATCGAGAGCTCATCACAAGACAAAGCGCTGGGTTTCTTTTTCCTGCGGGTGCCACAGTATGGAACTCATCTCAAGCCATTTGATTAGCAAAGGGTGCTAACGGGCTACAGAGTGACACATTTTGCTCAATCATATTTACTCCAGACATCAGTGGAAAAGGAACCAGGACAATATCCATGAAGGACCAACAAGGCAAGAAAACATTTTGCACACCTTTCCTAATAATGCGGAGTTAGAGGAGCTCGGCCATCTTAGAGAGGAGGCCGATGTGTAACGTGCATTTTAGTTTTAAGTCAGCCAATTTCCTCCTAGAAGCATGAAGAAGTTTGAAATCTGCAGAGCAGTGGAAAGGGTGCTCCACTGGTAGTTACATGTATTCAGCTCTGCCAGCAGCTGCTGGGACGCAGGGGCCAATTCTGAGCCCAGATTTGACCTGGAGAGCTTCCCCAAGCTGGTGACCTCCAGAGGTAGCTGACTACAAGCTTGCTTCGGCTGGAGGGACCCAGCTGGCAGAGGCTGGATCAGAAGGCAAGGCTCTTTTGTGGAGTGGGATCCTGGACCTCAAGTTAGCTTCGAGGTGGAGAGACAGGGATCGCCGAGATCAAAGGGGAATGTTTGTGCAACACCTTCTCATCTCTGGGCACAACGGCCATGCTGGTAATGAGCGTTCTATCCCTGTAAGAGACTTCTGCATCCCCCATCACTGTGCAAAAAGGTGGAGAGTGAAGAAAGCTGACAGGAAGGAGGCAGGAGCATGTAGAACATGGTGCGGGAGGAGAGCGTTCCGACGGAAAAGAAGAAGGGGGTCCTTGATCAAATCAAGCCAGAGAATTCCCTGGAAGCAGAAACGATGGGACCGAGGCTGTTGCGCTTCAGGCGCACCGCAAGAAGGCAAGGTTCCCCAGAGAAGACAAGCATGCCAGGGAAGGCTGAGAGCAGCAGCAGCGCGGGGAAACAACTGCGGGGGGGGGGGGGGCACCATATCCTTAACTTTGCAAGAGGGCTGTCAAGGGCAGAACACTTTGGAGGGCACTCCTTCAAGGCTTTGCGTAAGTCGGGGCAACCGGGGGGGCACCCGATGACGATGCAATAGACCACCGTGGGGATTTTACGCCCAAGAGTGATTCCAGCTGCACGAGGCAGAAGGCTTAGGTAGACATCATAGGCGGGTCGGCGTGAATAGCCATTTTGAGGTGCTTTCTCCCCATTCCTCAGCTGGCAAGAGATGCTGGCATAAAACCAATAAAACATTGCGGGGGGATGCGGTTCTTTTGGCATCTTGAGCTGCTTATGATATAATAAGCTCCACCTGCTACCTGGAGCTGTGCCCAGAAATGGACTGTGAGCCAGGTAGCCGTTTCGGCACTGGCGCCACCTGTCCCAGGTGACAGTGCCGGGCCTCAGAAGTCGTGCTTCATTTCCTGTGCTCCAGCCAGCAGCGTTCCTGAGCAGACATTTCCTCTGGTCAGGACGTGACGCATGATCCAGCGTCCCCCATTACTTGCAGGCTCATCAAGTCTAGAAGAAGCACATACATGGAGGCCCACATGCATGTGTGAACAGAATCATGCAGAGAGAGAGGGAGAGGGAGTGGGAGAGGTGATAAATAAATAGCCCTGAATGCCAATTTGATCCTTACTCTTTGGGCAAATTCTAAGGGGCAACTCATCATCTGGTATAACTAGAAAACTAGTTCAGTAGTTTAGTATATTTCCATTTCTCAGTGGCCCGCCTGCTTCTCCAAGACAGGTACTGAGGGCGCTGGCTGCACGCCCAGGTTTCAGTATGTGGTACAGGCCTCGGTTCCCTGAGACTCTCACTGCTCCCTTGGGACCAGCAAGTGTGCAGTCCTCATGAGTTCGCAGTTTCCTTGCTGCACACCAGCGTTCACCTGACGCCAGAGGGGCGGGCCTGGCAGCACGGCCCGCCAGGGAGCGCATCCTTAATCACAGCACGCTCCGTTCCTCTGCAGCATCCCCTGGCAGCGCATGTGGAAGCACCCCCGGCTCAGGCAGCTTTGCAAGGGAAGTGGGCAGTCGCACGGAGGCAGAGTCTCTGCCCCGCCTTTGCCCAGGGGCTGGGGGGCACTGAATGCCATTTGCCGGAGGAGGCGTCGGGAGGACCCCTGAATTTGTGTCCGCGCCCCGGAGACACATGATGCCAGATTAGGCAGAGCAGTTCTTGCCCTCTTAGGAGTGGCTGTGGCTGCGGAAGGGGTCCCTTGCAGAAGGCTGCAGAGCAGCCGTAGACGGCCTGGTGCCCCCCCCCCCCTCCGCCCAGCCCAGGAGCCGCTGCTTTGATAAACAGGCAACGGGGAGCCGCTTCGCCTCCCAGGAGACGGGCTGGCCGTGCTCTGGCTGCACGCGGCCATCGGCTTCTTGAGCAAGCCCTCCGGAAGAGAAGGATGCTCCTTCTGGCAGCGCCGCGGCCTCCCCTGTGTTCTCCCTTCCCTGGGAAGTGCTTTGCCCCAGGCGTGTTTCCCAGGTGTGAGCACAGGGGTGCCCGCACACCGGCCCTGTCATGCGCACATGCCATCTGAGTGCCCTGTGGTGTTACTGTGAAGATGCCGCGGGTCTTCTTGGCCCTTCTGCAGCCGAAAACTTGACTGACACACTGGGGAGTGGGAAGGACTGGGAACGCTGCCCCTTCCCACTAACCTGGGAGCTGCCTGGGGGAGGCAGCTTTGCTACTCTGCCTGTGGAGTCTGTCGCGGTGCAGTCCCCACACTTGACACCCCGCCCTGCCTGTCAGGCATGAACGAGAGCTGTTCATTCATATGAGGTGAAGCAAAGGCAGGGGATTGACAGAGAAAGCAGGCTGCTGGAAAAGCTGGCGCTGCTGGGGAATTTTTGGTTGCTTAGGCCGTGTCTTGTGCTGCCAAAGTGCAGGATTCCTGGAAGAAGATGTTCTGCTCACCGAGACTGGGAAGCGTTTGCTGGGAGTCCCATGGGACTGATCGAGAGGGCTGGAAACTATAACCTTCAGGGCAGGGTGGCAAAAGTCCAGAGTCAGTGAGCAGGTCAAGTATCAGGGACAAGAAATTCATGACAAAAGAGGAAGCAAGTAGGGAAACCATCCAGTAATTTTCAGATAAATTCAGCATGGAAATCAGGACCTGGATCTCCAGTGCCTGGGTACTAATGCGTGGAGTTAGGAAACAAGCAGGGTGGTCTTAAACTCCCCAGTACAACAGAGTAAGCAGGATCTTATTTATGTCACTGAGATGGTGTGATGAGACTCCACGACTGGAACATTGTTCAGAAGGAGCAGCTCCAAATGAAAGGGAGACAAAGCAGAACAGGGAGACGAATAGAGGAGTAGAATAGAATAGAGCAGAAGAAGTAAAAATGTTAAACAAATGTGCCTGGGAAGCCACGAACAGGAGGGTGGAAGCCCTGGAAAGCAGAAAGCATCTGGACAGGTTTCACAGACAAGAGGAACAGGCGTGATACTGTTGTGGAAGCATCCAGCCGGCCAGAAGGCATGGACCATGCATTCCCAACACCGGTGAGAAGCATCCAGGGGTGTGAGCTCCCACACTAGCAAGGGATTTCCTCTGTCTTGATACCAGCTGAAAGCCCAACCGGCTAAGAATGGAACACCCAATAAATGCCTTGGAATGGAATGCCTTGCTGCCACTCCATGTCCCCGAAGAGAGAGGAAGGAACAGGGTAGATCTGTTACCCTGAATGTGATCCTGATGAGCAAGGACAAACCAGATGATGAACTTGGCAGAAACTCTGGGGAAACGGACCGTGCTGGCAATGTGAAAACGGAGCACAGCTGGATGTGTGGACATTAAGGAAGCTGAATTGAAAGAGCTCCAAGAAAGTTGGGTGTCATCACGTGGCTAGCGATTTAGGAGGGGTGGGAGAGTCTGAGAACTGACATACTGATGGGCCAATCATCGCTCTTCCAATAAGAAGGACATATGGTGGGCGTCTGAAGAAGCCACTGTAGCTGCACAGGGAGGCCTCTGAGGAGTTAAGACTTTGAAGAGGGACATGGAAAGAGGAACAGAAAAAAGGTGAAAGGAGGAACAGAAAGCTAGTATACCTACGTGACCCAAACAAAGATGGTCACTCTCTGTCTAGGCAGACTGGCTAAAAAGAATAAAAAGGGCTTATTTGAATATGTTCAGATGGCTAGGAAAATACTGAACAGGTGACTCCATTCTTACTTTGCTTCAGTCTTTTTTCACAGTATGGATTGCATTTGACCTAGAACAAGCAACCAATAGAAGGGGCAATTTTGCTAGGTGAGGAAGTGGCTAGAGAACAGTCACTACTATTAATCTGCTCAGGTTTCCAAGGCCAGATAAATCATGCCCACAGGTGCTAAATGTGACGTTTAGCATTTAGCTAGAAAGACCGACAGGCACAGGTACAGGATACAGGTGACCTGGCTTGGCAGAAGCACCCATGAAAAGGATCTAGATGTCTTAGTCAATCACAAGCTGAGTATGTGGCGCTAGGCTGAGACAGCGCCTGTAAAAACTCAGTGCCGCCTTCGGCTCATTAACAGAAGCGCAGTGCCCAGGTGGCAAGGAGTAATGGTCCTCCTCTCCGCCGTGCTGGTCATGGCTGTGTCAACATGGGCAAATCTTAAGGACAACAATGGCAAATTGGAATGCATCCAGATGTGGGCGACGAGGATAGTGAAGGTTCCGGAAAACAAGTCCTTTGAGGAACATTGAGCTGGATATGCTTAGCATGAAGAGACGATTCAGAGGGGCCATAATAGCGGTCTTGGGATATGTGAAAGAGCGGGCAAAGCTATTCCCTTGCTGTAGAGGACTAGGACCAATGAGTGGAAATTGTGGGGAACTAAATTTGTCACACTTGCCCTGAGAGGGGGAGTTGTTCAACATTGTAAGACTGTCTAAGAAAGAGGTGGGTTCTCTCTTGCTGGAGATTTTCAAGCAGAGGCTGGATGGCCTCTCTAAAAGATGCTAGATTTGCATTTCAAAATCACATGGCGCAAGGAGATGCTCAGTCCTCCAAAGTCTCTTCTAACCTTCAGGATTCAGTGGTGGAGGAGCATTGCTGGAGCCAGGGCCAAGCCTGCTGCTCACTGCCTGGGAAGCCGGGGCCTGGCCTGACCAGCACGTCCCGCCCTCACTTGGCTGTGTCCACAATTGCAAGCTCGTCAGCTGGTCCCAGAAATCCCATTAAGGACCAAGCCAGCCCCACTCACGGTGACCGGGTCTCGTCTCTGTCTCTTGGTCATGTTGAGAGTATGGTAGAATGTCCAGTCTTCATCTGACTTATGCTGAGTGCAAAATAAAGGGGTTTCCTCATGCGGGGGTGGGGGCATCGTGCATGCGTGTGCAGACATTTGCACATTTAGCTGGGTACAATAAAATGGAAACGTAAAGCTCAGAGGAGAGAAATCAGACCATCTTTTCCTCAATGAGCCATCTAAACGACATGTTTGTCTCGGCTGTCTGCCTGGAAAAGGAAGCAGGTTAATTCTCAGGTGGGACTTGGTCTTTGGGAAGAGTCGATCTGGGAGTGGAGCTCCCTTGCAGATGCTTTGTGCTGTGACTTTGCATCCAAAGTGCGCAGTGACATGCCTTCCGCATCTTCCATGTTTGCACTGTGCATTCCAGCATTGGACAGGGCTGCTGTTGTCGGGATGAGATGAAGAACTGGAGGAGGAGAGTGATGTAGGCCTCTCTGAGTTCATTGTCAGAAAAAAGGCAGGATGTCAGTCTAATAAATAAATTAGGAAGCAAATAGAATCCATGTTGTTATTAAAACAGCCAAAAAAACCCCCCAAAACCCATGCAGGAATATCTCTTGAGGAGTTGCACTGTCGTGCCCAATGCTGCTGATGTCACCACATGCCTTGATGTAGGACGAGTCCTCCTCGCCCTCCTTGCTGTTGCCAGTCACTTCCCCGTGATGGAGGCTCCCGGAAGCAGGCCTGACTGCTGTCATGTCGGTGTGTCATTCCAGGGAGCTTGGGACCAGCTCCGCAGGAGCCTCCACGCACGCGCGATTTCTGGAACTCCCGTCTCACACCTCCCTGCGCTCGTCCGGAAGCTCTGCCAGGCTGGATCACGGTGTCCCACCCACCAGCCCAGACCAGAGGTGGGTAAGGGGAAGGGTGGGATGGGGCGGGAGGCTCTCTGTCTTGTGATGCAAGCCTGGAACCCAGGTGGTCCTTCAGGACCACTGCAGTCCGTGCCGCACACGCGGCTCCCCGTTTCTGAATGTGCCTTGCAGGCGTGGATGTCTCAGTCCAATGCCTGTCAAGGCTGGCTGGGGGGCATGTTTTGCAGTGACAGCTTCTTTTAGCTTTCTGATTGCACTGGGACGGTGCTTTAATGCTTCTGTTCTAGAATATGCACAGACGGTTTCCTGTGCGACAGCCGCACCACCTTTTGGGAGCGAAGGTTCCTGCATTCAAAAGCCACAGACCCTTTTTCCTTGCAAAGCCAAGTGTAAAATAGTGGGGTGTTGTGTGTGTGTGTGTGTGTGTGTGTGTGTGTTGGGAAGCTAGATGCAAAATGTTATCAATTGATCAACTGATTGGTACCCTGCCTTCCTCCAAGAAAAAGTCAACTTACAGGCATAAATCAAACCGGATTAGGGGCATGGTCCTATGGCTGTCCCATCATCCACAGGAAAGGTGCGAGTTTCAGTGCTGAGCTCAGAAAGTCTGGGACTGGAACTCTCCCCACTCTCCGCGGTGGGGCCTTCCTGTGTGGACTGTGCTGCTGAGGTTGGAAGACCAGCCTCAGAGCCAGCCTCGCAGGGGCCGGGGAGGCAGCTGCCGCAGGGTGCGAGGCATCCGGGGGGGCTTCGGCTTCTCCTCTGCCTCAGCAGGGACAAAGCACGCAGCTGGACAAAACCGGCCTGCTGAGTTCCAGCCGTCGAAGAGCTGTGCAGGGCAGGAGACGTGCGGAGGTGAGCGTTGCCTTTGCGCCTCTCCCAGACTTCCCAGGAAACAAAGAAACAGAGCGAGTCAGAAGGGGTCTCCCGGGCCATCTAGTCTGACCTCTGGCACCAGCCGGCTCCACTCACAACATGCCCACCATGTGCACATCCAGCCTATCCATGAACACCCTCACCGATGGGGCCTCAACGACCTCCCGGGGAAGCCCATTCCACACCCTCGGGGTCCTGACTGTCAGGAAGGGCTTCCTGGCATCCAAATGCAACCTTGGCTCCCTGAGCTTGGCTCCGTTGGAGCGCATCCTGCCTTCCTCTGCAGGGGAGAACAGGTCTCTACCCACCTCCATGTGACTCCCCCTCACATACCTGTATGTGGCCAACAGATCCCCTCCGAGTCTCCTCTTCTTCAGGCTGAAGAGACCCAGTTCCCTCAGTCTCGCCTCATATGGCATCCCCTGCAAACCGGCCACCACCCTTGTGGCCCTTCGCTGCACTGACAGGAAGCCCAACATTTGGAGAATTAGGAGCAGCTGCGTTGACTCACACTGTACAACAATAATGAGAATAAAGTGAAAAACTGCAACAGTATTTTTGTGAGCAGTAACTCGGGAGTGAGCCAGAAAATGGGCCGTTCACCTGGCCGACTTGCCCATACAAGCACAAGTCTGCCTGTGAGCACCTGGAGAACCATCCTAGCGGCGCGTGCATTGCTGCTATTGCCACCTGCTCCCCGACAGGCACCGCTCGCCTCAGCAAAAAGGGGGAGCCAGAGTTCGTTGTGTGAGGCAGGCCGAAGAGGGACTGCTGGCGCCCTGGGGCTTCCGCGCCTTGGCTTGGAGACGGAGCTACGAGGGCTTCCCTCTGTCCCCCGGTCAGAGCAGCCGCTGAGAGCTGGGCAGAGGCAGCCGGAGCCCCCGCTCCTCTTCCCAGCATTTGTGGTCGTGGCTCGTTCTCCGCCTCCTTCCTTCCCAGCCGCCAGCACAGGGCTGGAAGAGGAGCTGCAACAGGGCCCTTTGCCAGGGTGAAGGTGGAGTCCCGGGGGGCCAAGAGGGCCGGCCAGCGTTGGTCGGCCCCTGCTCGCCGATCCAGTCGTCTGCGGGTGGGTGTCCCGGGGCGTCCTCCACCTCGCTGCTTGCGTCAGCCCCGCCGGGTGATCTGCTCAGTGGTCCAACGGGGCACCGGTCGATCCTGGTCAGCCTGCCGGCCACCCTCGCTGCAGCTCGCCCAGCTCGCCCTGGGTCGGAGCAGCTCCTAAAGATCCGGTGCAACTCTGCACGTGGCCCACAGCCCCAAAGCCCAGTTCCTGCTGGCGGCGCTGGGCGCAGGAGGGCGGCGAGGCGGCCAGCGCCTGAGGCATGGGTTCTGCGGAACCAGCCAACCTTTACTCAGAGAAGCAGACGAAAGATGCGCAATAAGCCGCCTTCAGACGCCTGAGCCCACCTGTGTGTGCCTGTCGACAGCACCATCGCCCCCAACCCATGCATGGCCCGCTCACTCCCGTTTGCCGTAGTCCAACTAGCCAGCTGCGGAGTTGTGAGGCCGGCTCCAGCTCGGTCTGCGTGGTCCTGCTTGTGTGGAAAGAAGCAGCGCCGCGAGCCTGAGCTGGGCCTGTTACGGGGCTGCGGAGGGATTAGCCGTTCGCTGCCGGCACTGCTGAAGAGGTGAGGCCGGTGGCAGGCAGGTGCCGCGAAGCACCGCGAGGCTCCCGCCTTCTGTTGCGCGTGGAGGCACCGCAGTTTTGTCTTTCCGCTTTGTCACATTAAGCGGCTTTAACTCTGCAAATGCCACCCTGATTGCTCCTACTAGTCTTGTGGGAGGTCAGCTGCGAGGCAAATGTCCAAGGCATCGGCTGCTAATAACGTGTGCCTGTGTCTGTCTCCATGCGTGCCTGGAGGCAGCTGCCACAGGGCACGAGACATCCGGGGGGCTTCGGCTTCTCCTCTGCCTCAGCAGGGACAAAGCACGCAGCTGGACAAAACCGGCCTGCTGAGTTCCAGCCGTCAAAGAGCTGGGCAGGGCAGGAGACATGCGGAGGTGAGCGTTGCCTTTGCGCCTCTCCCAGACTTCCCAGGAAACAAAGAAACAGAGCGAGTCAGAAGGGGTCTCCCGGGCCATCTAGTCTGACCCCCGGCTCCAGCCGGCTCCGCTCACGACATGCCCACCATGTGCATGTCCAGCCTGTCCTTGAACACCCTCATGTTTGTCTCCATGCATGCACGTGCTTTGAACTTGCGGGGAAGGTTGTGGAGGACCTGAGGAGCCGTGGGGGTGGAGTGGCCCTCCCTGAGGAGGTGCGATGGCTGCTGGGGCAGAGGCTGCTCCTCACATTCTGACGGGAGCAAAGGAGGGCAGGCCAGTCCTCCCCACAGCACAACGAGCGTCCTGCCGAGCAAGCCAGGTGTCCCTCTGCTCTGGCATCTGGTCCCCTGCAGGAGCAAGCGGGAGCCTCGTGGCTGTCCCCAAGCAGGACACAGGGAAGCGAGAGCGCTCCTTGCGTCCGGCAGCTCCTCAAGCTGGGGCCGCTGGACAGGCTTCCCAGTTGTGCCGGCCTCCGGAAAGGGCCGTCCACGTGCCTCTGGGAGGGACTGGAGGCTCTCCTCAGCACAGCCGCCCCCTTTCTGCAAGCTAACACCTCCTTGTCTTGAATTTCATGCTTCCATTATCTGGGGACAAAGAGCCAGTAAAATGAAAACTCTGTCACGGTGAGTGTATGCAAAAGTGTGAGCTCACGCCGGTGCATAGGAGTTTCACGAGGCTCCGCTGCTTCAGCAGGGCTGATAAGTTTGCTTGACTACTGACGGGGGTGGGAGGCGGGGGCCCACAAGATGGTGTCGGGACCCTGTGTGTTTTCTCCACGCAGCAAAGTGTCGTGTGCCAGAAGCAGAGAGCAAGGCAGGCGACACCGTAAGCCTTCTGGGCAGCTCCTGCGTTCCCCCGCACTGGCTCCTTCTGAACGGGTGACAGGATCGGCAAGGGAGGGGACGGTGCTCACAGCTTTGACCTGGTGCCGAGCGGATTCTCTGGGCTTCTTTGGGGCACTGAGCCTAGCAGTCCGGTCCCTGGGAGATTCAGTGCCAGCTGGACCACAGACGGAAGCAAGCGGTCACCCGGGCAGTGGACCGGGGAAGCCAGTGTCACCGAGGTTGGCCTGAGTGGAGCACAACTCCTTCCATCCATGGGCAGCTCATCCTCCTCTCAATTGTCGTCTCAGTGACTCACGAAGAAATTAGTGTTCCACTTTGGTTTTAGTAATTAATCTCTGATTTTACTATCAGCCTCTGGTTTTCTTGAACAAGACTCTGTCCAGCTTAATGCAGTCTTACGGGTTTTATGGTTGCTTTGAGTGCTTCCTGACAGGAAGGGAAATCCAGAGATATGCATCTTCCTCAGAAGGTCCGTAGTGAGCCAGGGCGCACCTCTCGGCGTGCCAGGCAGGGGTTTCTGCCCATGAGATCCAGGGAATGCACTAGGAAAGCTCAGAGTGCGACCGTCCGCTGAGGTGGCGGTTGCATGCAGGCTCAGAACCCCTGGGGACAGCCTGAACGGGGCAGAATCGCTCTGATTCGAGGGAAACCAAACTTGCAAAGCCCGTGTTGGTTTTGCTTCCCTCCATGTTCAAACGGGCTTCTGCAAGACTCCATCTTTCCTTTCACAGCTCCAAAGAATCGTCCTCTGCAGCCGGGTTTTCTCTCGCTTCCTCAGCTGGGCGGTTTTCATCCCGTGTGTCTTCACCCCGGACCCCCAGGGGCTTCATGGTTCCACCCGCGGGCGAGGAGGCCGTTGGAGACCAGGCAGAGAATAAAGGTGGGAGAGAAGGCAGCGGGCCCCGAGCCCTGGGTTCTCGCTCGGGGTGGCGCGCCTGGGGCAGCGTGGGCTCGCTCGAAGTGCCCTTCCCCACCATGGCTCCGTGCGCTCCCGCTTCGACACAGTGAAGATGGTGGCGGGCAGGCCCAGCGTCCGGGACGGGCATGGTCGGGCCCCTGGCGAGGGCTGGCGTGTGGCACAGCGGGGGCCACTGACAGGAGCCCCTGCACTGGCCGCTCCTCCTCGCCACTGCCGCCGGGGGCTTTGCTCCTCACCTGTCCAGACCTCCGCGGTGGCGAAGAGGAGCAGAGGTGCTGCTCTGCCCAAGGGCTGGGGCTCTCTGCGCGTCCAGCCAGCCAGTGGAAGCCATGGGGGGGCAGCTGACAGCCACGGTGGTGGGAGGGTGGTCTCGCTGGGCGGGGGGCCCATGGCAGGCAGTCTGCCTGGAGCAAGGACTGGGCGTGGGCTGCGCTGGCTGGCTGGCTGGCTGGCTGGCTGGCTGGCTGGCTGGCTGGCTGGCTGGGGGCAGCCAGGGGCCCGCGGAGGAGTTTGGTGCAAGAGAGGGCCGACTCCAGGGAGGCGCGGGAGGCCGCAGGGACATCGCAGCGGGGGTCCCCGAGCGAGCGCGCCCTTTCCGGACCGGGGGTGGCCTCCTGCTTCCACCGGACTGGGCCAGCGTTCGGTGTGCTGTCAGCATCCCTCTCCCTCGGCCTCCTTTTCCCCATGAGAGCTAATTGTTAATCCCCGCAAATGCAAGCCTCAGCGCTCGCAGGGTGTTGCAATGTATGCCCAGTTGGCCTGACGCGGATTCGACCCCAGGGGGCCTTTGGGCTGTTTCGCTGCAAACAGAGACAGCCCCAAGTGCCCTGTATCCGACTGGGAGGGGAGGAAAGGTGGGAAGCGGCTATGCACAATATGCAGTAATAGCATTTCAAGGAGGAGGATGAGGAGAACGAAAGAAGGGCTGGCAGGTGTGGCATTTAACAGATGCTGGCTGTGGGAGGGTCGGCGGGTGGGGAATCCGTCTCTCTGCAGGTTTTAGCCACGGAAGCCTGACAAGACACAGGCAGCCCCTGCTCCACCCATCTTAGACCTACCTGGCTGGAGAGGTACACTGAAGCATGGCTGGAAAACACAGAAAGCTGTGATAATTTAGCATTAAGGAAAGCGGACTGGGCACATGCTGACAGTTACCCTTTCCTCCGAGCACTCTGCGTGTGCGAAAGGCGGCAGAGCCAGAGAACCAATGAGCTCGGTGCACCCAAGACCCAGTGCCAGAGCAGGCCTGGAGGAGGAGTCTTGGCCCTGGCAAGTGCCAATTGTTGCCATTCGATAAGAATGAATGTTCTCTCATGGGAGTATCTGCAATGAATAGCTAAGGCAGGTCCCTCCAGATCTGCAAGGGCAAGTGAAGTTCTCGCCACTGCTCTGCTCTCACTGTCTGCCAAGGCTTCATTTCAGTCCCGCTCTTCGGTGAGAAGCCTGCTACCAGTGGCAGTAACAAAGAGTGTTTCTGAGGCCTCAGCCAGGTCTACACACCTGGGACTAGCGGGCCAGGGTTTCCGGTGAGAGTCGGCTCCTTCCAGACAGGCACTATTGGGAATTTCTCTGAACTGCTCAATGAAAACTGGTGGTTGGATTTCTCTCTCTCTCTTCTTGCAGAACCAGATCGTCCTGCTGGTGTGAAGGAGAAGAAAGCACCCAAAGCAAAACCTGTTTCCCCTCTTGCATCCCAAATCGCTACCCGCCCAGGCTCCAACAGCAAACCTGTGCTCCCTCCCATCCCATCAGGGCGGAAAAAACCCGCGCCCCTGTCACCGGAAAGCCCCCTCTCTGCCCCACTCCCCGCCCCAAAACCTTTGCTGTAGCCCCTTCCCAGGCCCCTTCAAGGACAGAGCTGCCTTCGCTTCTGGAGATCGTGACCAGCCCATCTTTGATGGGGCTTTGCCTGCGGTCCCCGAAAGGAGTGGTGCGGAGGAGGGGTCCCGGCGAAGGCACTGCTGTGGCAGCCATTCTTACTGGTGGGTGGCCTCTCGTTCCAAGCCGCTTCCCACGGCTAACCCCCGCTTTCCCCTACCAGGCGAACGTGACGGCTCTCCAGCAGAACTTCCCTTGGAAATGGCTGCCACTTCCCTGCCCAGTTAGCACCCGGGCAGGTTTTTACTTCTAGATTGCAAGCAGATTGCGTGGTTACTTAGAACTCTGCCTTACTGTTCTTTTTTTCACTATAAAATAACTGAACTGGACATATGGCTGCTGTACATACCAAACTCGCCTTGCAGTCGGGGACCTCCCACTATGGCGTGTACCTGTGCGCATCTCCCTTGCCATGCAGGCAGTCGCCAAGCGAGTCCCCAGTAACGGCTTGTTCCCAGATACTTCTGTGAACCCGATTGCCATGGCAAAAGCCACCCTAAGGAGGTCTGACCTCAGCTTCACGTGGTGATTTTTTTTCTTTTTTGTGGGGGGAGCACCCACTCAAATTTCTCCCTCTTCCTTAGTTGTGCTAAAATGGCCTGTGGCCAAGAGGAGTGAAATTTTCAGTGGGTTTTAGATGAAAGATTTATACTCCTCCTGCTCCCCATGCACCTGCAGACCTGCACATTTCTGAATTAGCACTCGTTTTATGTAGCCAGCCGTAAAAACAAACCCGCCATGACTTCTTCAGTTGAGAAAGAGATGAGCGATCCCATTCTGAGAAGAGGGATTTGACGCTGAGCAGATGATCCGTATCATAACTCAGAATCTCTACACATAAATTTTCAGCTGGATGTTGTTGCAAATATATTTTACGAAAGAAGAGAAGCTTTATATTTTCAAAAAAAAAAAAAAAAAAAAAACACTTGCCTGTCCAAAGCTTTCAAGAATATGTGGAACAGAATGTGTAAAACCTTCAAAATACTTTGCTTTGGTTCATTTCCCTCTGGCCATGTAGAAGGGCTCACCCAGAAACACACAGAAAATAACCTTGACACCTTAAGCCACTTGCAGGGGGAGGGAGAGGCAACTATTTTCAAGGGGTGAGCCATGTAAAAGCAAAGCACCTTTTCTTCTGAACGACTTTTATCCAAAGCAGCTCTATGCAGATTTCATTATCTTGCAATTCGAGGAAAACAAACCTACCTGGAAGGAAGCATCGTCGCACTCAGTGGGACTGAGGCTGAGTCTAGATGGCGGCCCGTCCCCTGACCTCATCTGAGGGGCCGCAGGGTTACACCCCTTCACAGCTCCTCTCTCCACAACGATCGATCGCAACTGGGCCTTGGAGGTCGATGGTGGCGATTCTCCTCCACTTGCCGGCACGAAATGTGGGCACCTGGAAATGGCACCCAGGGAAAAGTCCTGGCGCTGCCACAACTCTTTCCAGATGTGGGACTCGCGCAAGCCTGCCGGTTCAGAGCCCTGAGTACATCAAGGGCGCAGCATTGGGCCCTTGTGTTCCTTTAAGTGGTGGAAGCCTTGCCTGTTACAGCTCTTTGGAAAAAAGTAGTTTGTGGCAAGACCCGTGTGTTGTGGAGTCAAGGCGAGTTATCTCTGCACCTTTTCCAATGAAATTGGAGGGAGAAGCTTAAGAGGCATTTAAGGAGTAGTGCCATGTACCCAGAAATAGGAGGGCTAACTGGGTTCCCATGTGGAAAAAAATTAACATGCCGTCTATGATTGTGGCATTTGAAAAACCAGCAATCCTAAAAGGGGAAAAAAGCAGAGAGAATAAATCGTTTCCCAGGCCGAGCACTCGCAACGCAGGCGACACATCCGTAGCCTCCGAACAACGAACCTCACCTCTCCAGGAGCTGCTCAGCAGGCGCAAAAGCTCCAGAGGCTGCAAAGCAGGTTTCCGATGAACCAGCTGGGAGCCATTAGCAAGGCAGGCTCTGCTTTCCAGCGCCAGAAGCAGAAAGCACCCTGCAAACCCCAGAGAGCTTTCAAAAGACGTGCACCTGCTCTGCAGCTCTCGCATCGGAGGCATGATTCAGGGCCCCCAGCGCCTCGTGCCAGCTGGCTCCTCGAAGCCTTTCAAAAACACGGCTGGGAAAGAAATCGGAATAAATCGCGCCACGTTACGTATTTTGTTACATGAAGCCCACTTGCTGTTCACAAATATATCTTCCCGATGTAAATATATGGGCCGAACTGCCATAGCCACTCTGCAAGAACGTAATGCATTATCTCCCTCGCACTGCGTTAAAAAGAAATGCAGGCAATAACCATAGCCACGACTCCACACTCTGCCCCGTCCCGAGGTTTAGCTTCTGCTTTGCTGCGTGCACGGAATATTAATGGCAAACACGTGTCTGTAAAAAGGGCGCAGCAGGTTGTCACCTTTGCTATTTCTGGTCTCTGCTCCCCTCCCCTATTCGCTATGCATAACTTTCATTCACAGACAGTCCCCCACAGACACCTAAACAGGTAACTGCCACCCCTCCCTTATATCCTTTCAACCCCCCCCCCCCCCCCAATTCATGCAGCTGCTTCTGGCCTAGGAAGCTGTAGATGCCAGGAAGCCCTTCCTGACAGGACCCCGACAAGAGGTCGCTGAGGCCCCATCGGTGCGGGTGTTCAAGGACAGGCTGGACGTGCACATGGTGGGCATGTTGTGAGCGGAGCCAGCTGGAACTGGGGGTCAGACTAGATGGCCCGGGAGACCCCTTCTGACTCGCTCTGTTTCTAAGTTTCTATGGTGCCAGGGGTCAGACTAGATGACCCGGGAGGCCCCTTCTGACTCGCGCTGTTTCTATGTTTCTGAGTTCCTCAGTCATCTGAATGTGCCTGCATGCGCCATGACATCACGGCAGCTCAGCCAATGGCAACCAAAGCTTGCTTTTAGTAAAGGCGAAGCCATCGCAGTCGACTGGTGGGGGAGGTTCCAGCGCTGCCGCATCCCTGCAGATCCAGTTCTGGTCAGCATTTGGTGACGGGGCGAACAAATCCGTCTTTCATACTCATTCAGTGTGTGCTGCAGGGAGCGGCGACCACAGCGAACGGAAAGTCTGCTGGCTCAAAAGCGAACACATGTTTTCACCCGGCAAATATTTATGCTGAGGGGCCCCAAACCCCACAAAGCTGTACATTATGATGCTTGATGCCGCGAAGCATTCAGTCCCGATTTCTGACTGGGGAGGGGGGGGAGCATTTGGTGGGGGCTGCGCTGAAGTTCCCAGGTCTGCAGGAATCTCACACGTGGCTTCCTGGGGGGACTGGACCGGGGGTGTTTCAGTGCCAGTGAGGAAGGAGCGAGCGAGAGCAGCCCTGGAAAGGGCTGTTCACACAGCCAAGTCCTCCTCCGAGTCAGGATGGAAGGGGGCTGCCCTGTAGCAACCAGAGAGATGGTCCATTTGCCTGGAACTGCCAGATCCCAGGTTCAAAGCAGCCGTTCCTGGCCCAGCCGCAGGCTTCCTCCAGCCCTGAACCTCTTCTCCTTGTACTTGCAAAGCACGTGATCCGCAACCCAACAGTGACTTTTCTGTTCTCAGACTCCTGCTCCACTCAAGTCAAAATAATTCCGACATTCCGCCAAGTTTGCTAATGAAAATACTGATCTAACATTTCTCTGATTCTTTGTTTGACGTGTTTGAGGCCAGGCCCCTCGCCAGAAAACATGGCATCCTCCATACAGCCCAGGAAACAATCTTAACAGCCCCCGTTTCCTTAGGCCATTATTTATGTCTTCGGTAAAAGCAAGGGAAGTCAGAAAATCCAGGGTCTGCGAATGATTTACAGACAACTTTACTGCACCCCGAAGACCCCTTTGCCATTTCCATGCAATTTAGGTGACAGGCGTCCATTTTCTACTCTGAAAACAATGAGGATTCAACATGACACCCGAGGGACTTTCTGAAGCTAGCCTCCCCCCAGCTGCTTTTGAAGAACTCCTCATTGTTCAGGCCATTGAGCCAGATGGATGAGATGCCACAGAAAGAACCCGAGCCCTGAGGAGCCGTCCAGCCGAAGTGGGAAGCAACAGGGCTCTCAAGCTGCATTCCCAGGCGTCAGGACACGATGCTCTCTCTGTGTGTGTGTGTGTGTGTGCATGCGCACAAGGCAAACCCATTTTGCAAATCATGACCCCCCCCCCACACACACACACACACACACGTGGATTTCCAGTCTGGCCACTCACTTTGGGCTGTGACATTCTGACTTCAAAGTTTCAGTGAAACTTTGGCATTTCCAGTCATCAAAGAAGAAGTGCACCAGGCTATCAAACACTAAACCAAATTGCCTGGCATCTCTCAAATGCCAGCAAAAGGGGAGGCAAGCTTTTTGGGGTTGTGGGCAACCTTTTACTTCCTTTTCAGTGCCGTGGGTATATTTTCTTGCTTCCTTCTGTAGGAATCCCTCTTTTCTCCCTGCTTCCTCCTTCCACTCCCTCCTGCCTGGGCTTCCGCCTCCTGCTGCCCCTTGCTGATTCTGCCCCCTCCAAAAGATCGACCCACTCACTGCGGAACGGACTCTGAATATCCCTGCATATCAAGTATTACATATTTCCAATACACACACCCAAGATCACAGATTGAACGAATCTTTGCACTGGGCAGGGGTTGGACCTGATGGCCTTCAGGCCCCTTCCAACTCTATTCCGATTCTGTGGAATACCTGAAACCTTTATTTTGTGAGTGCTTGAAAACAGGAGATGTTCCGTGGCGTACGAAGGATTGCAATTATTTAATTGGACAATGGTCCTAAATAATGATTCCATGCCAAAAAGAAGATCCCCAAACCCAGCTGAGGGTAGAGAAAGGAATAGGCCAAAAACTTGCATCTAGGGCCAAATCCAGGCTTTAACTGCATCCCTCCATACAATTTTGGGGGCCCTCCTTACACACAATCAAAGATACTGACAGACATGGGGAAGGAGAGAAGGGCACAGAAAACAATGCAAGCCTACATCTCTTTGAAGTCAAGTTTTTTTATTTAAACATTATGAACCTTCTCCATTTCAAGTACACAGGGAAGATTCCATCTCTAGCTTCTTTGTCTCCCTCCCTGCACAAGTTTCTCTGAAATCCCTGATAACCCTTCGAGATGCTCCTTCCTCAAAATGTTGGGCACAGACCTGTTCAAAGCAGAGGAATTATGCCCTGGTGCATGTGAGGACTATGCAAGGAACCGGGAGCTGCCAAAAGAAATACATGACACGTAATTCTCAGAGGATGGTGTGACTGTTGTTGGAGGGAATTTCTTAACCGCTAATAGAAATAGAACTAATACTCGCCATCATAACCACAATGAGAGAGACCTGGCTGCCATCCTCTTGGGGCAGGATTAACAGTTACCTAAACTGTGAAGCTACCTGTGGTCACTCACCTGCCTGAGACAGTCAGGCCTATCCTGTATGTTCCTGTACTCCCAGAAAGAAGTACACCAGCCCTAGGATGCGTGAAGCACGAGAAAATACAGCAAAAGCCAATGGACACAGAACAGCATCTGCCAGCACAGGGATCTATTCTGGCAACTAGCAAACATGGAGATCCACTTTTGTACAGAAGTGGTGGACACACGCACATGTACCAATTCCTGACACGCGTGCGGCACCCAAAAATGCTGCAATGCTCCTAGGACATCAGAACATCCGGCAGTTGGAAAGCCCTAACACTACAGTGTGAACAAAAGGTGTTTCCAGTGTCCAACGGGAGAAAGGGGTAACATGTGCTAAATATGAAGAAAGAATGCAGTTCTGTTGTTTATAGCGTTCGGGGATGCCTTTGAAGACGCTCGTAACAGTTCTCTATAAATATGCATGAAACGGATGGCCGTGTCGCTTTAAATTAAAAAGCAGGCATAACATTAAAACCTAGGAGAACTAAAAAGGGCAGAAGAACAGATTAGAATGAGGTGCCCCGTGGGCACCCCGAATTTCAGCATATGTACAAGTTGTTCATGTCAAGCAGTCATCCGAACTGAGGCACACACCGAAGGCGTCAGTGTCCCCACGTCTTTTAACGAACGATGTGTCACCAGATGCTTTTCATGCCTCCTGCTTAGCACAGCTGAGAGGCAGGCCGCCAGCCACGCGAGCATCGGCCGAGGGGACAAGATGGTCCTAAGGGGAGAGGCACCCGTGGCTGAACGCGGCTGCCCATCAAGGCAGGCTGCTGGACGGGGCGCCTGGCCAAGACAGTTCCTTCCGCTGCCCTTCCACCCTGGCCCACTCGCACAGGGACAGTTCTCACCCAGGCCGCCCACGCCCACCAGCAGCCCCATTCCTCACGGCTAACACCACAGCCAAGTCTTGGGGGAATGGCCACACCAGAAATTTACTCTAGATGCTAGTTTCCAAAAAGCAGAGATTCCCCCCAGGAATCCTGGGAACCGAAGTTGGGGGAAAGCTCTGCATTGGAGACTTCTTTGTCCAACCCGGTGCACTCCAGACTACAGCTCCCATAATTCCCAGGCAATGCAACCAATGGCAAGGCTTCGACCTAAGAACAGGCTGTGGAACAAAAAGATGACTGACCTGCAAAGCGGAGCTGCCGCTCGCCTCTTCCCGCCTGGCATTTTGGCTGGCTGGCCTGCCCAACAAGTCCTTGCATTGCAGAAACTAGCATGTCAGCTGAATGAGACCAGAGCCCTTCTCCTTGGCATCTAGCTTCCTACATGCAAGGACCCAAAAAGCACATTTTCCAGTTCCGGTGAGTGGGAGTAACAACCCAACTGAGGGTCATCTAGAAAGCTGCTTCTGTACGAGGGATTACAGTTCCCAGGTGCCACTTCCGCACAGCCTGACAAAATGCCTGGCCACCCCAGCCGAATTTTGCAGAGGAAACCAACTCCACCCACCTGAAGCTTTTACGCTGCTGAGCAGAGCTCACAGCTGTGATCCAAGGGGAAACCCCCCTTCCATGGCCACGCTCCTTCTGAGCTCGCGTGCATGTGGGGGGCAGCAGGCCCCTCCTCCTTCCTCAGGGCCAAAATGCGCCTTAGTTCTCACGGCCATGGCAAATTATGGCCTCCCCAAAACAAGCAAGCAAAAGGAATGCCCTTTTCTTCTCAGAGGAATTGCTTTTCGTAGGAAGTAGCGTTCAGTCCCACATCTGTGCCAACAGATTCAGGCTCACCAACTCAGCAGGAACTATATACTTTGGCAGACTCAATCCACATGGAACCAATTCAGTGCCTTTTGGTGTACAAGGGAAACAGCCGGAGTGGAGATTACAACCGATCCGACTGAAACCCGAGCCTCACCACACACCTACAGCACCTTTTGAGAGCACGGGAAGCCAGCGTGCGAGATCATGGGGTCTGTCATCCTCCCCCGGTAATAGCATTTTACATTTTTTTAGGATGCCACGAACATCACCACGGGCTTTGGTGTGGCGTGTAATTCATCTGCAGGCTGTGCCTGTCTTGGGAGGGGCGTGACTATTCACTGCCAAATCAGCATTTGCATTTCCTAAAGAAAAGGTGTGCTTTACAGGTTACCTCGTGGTGACTTGCACACGTTAATTTCCTAGATTCAGCATTTCTATTTGTGCTCTTTCGGCTTTTCAGGGTGGCGACTGTCATGATGCAAAGGAAGGGTTGCTATGCGAGGCCTCAGGAGCGTGACAAGCTACCCCCGTGACGTCGGGCACCTAAACCATACAGGGGGCAAAAACGGACCTGCACAGGGCTGGCTCACCTCATCAACACTGCTTGTTACTTCAGCAGCCATTAAAAAGAAAGAAAAAGAAAACAGGGAGTGCTGGTTCATAATTGCGTAATACTCTGGAACAGCACCCCATTGGTCTAGGCAATGATGTTTCATTGGTGTAAGCAAAGGAGAACGCTCAGGATCCAGCCCAAGGACTCCCCACTTCCGGGACTTTCTCGTCTGCTTGGCACGGCCAAGATCAGCTATTTTTGTATTACAAAAATCAATCCCCCACCTCCATGAGAAGGGAATTCACTTCACCCTAGAAAAACCTCCATTCGGAAATTCACTTCGCCCTAGAAAAGCCTCCGTCAGGAAAGGTCTCGCTCCCAGGGGAGAAGCCGCGGGCTTTTCCATGCCCGTCCACGGCTACGCCAGCTTCTTCCCCGCCCGCTTCTGCTCCAGCAGGCCAGCCAGGCTGTTCCACACCTCCGTGTACATCAGAGTTCCCACGAAAACAAAGAAGGTGCCCAGCCAGTGCCAGGCCGTGAAGGGGTTCCGGAAGTACAGGATGGAGACGATCAGGCTGACGAACTTGCGCAGCGTCACGACGAGCGTGACGGTCAGGGAGGTGCACTCGGTGGTGAGGATGAAGACGCCTCGGATGCAGATGTATCTGGGAAGGGGAGAGTTAAGGAGAAAGGAAACGGGGGTCGGGGCAGAAAATGAGGACGCTTGGGAAGAGGCGTGTGCAGGTTTGGAATCAGTCTGTCAGGAAGCTCCAGAAATATGCAAGTATCTTCAAGGACGCAGCCTGCCATTCCTGCACCAAACACCCAAAAGCCTCGAAAGCTGAGGCTTAGGAGCAAGCGGAGGGCACGGCTTGGAGGCCGAGAAAAGAGGCTGAAAGACCCTGTGGCAGACTCAAAAAAAAAAAAATCTCATGGTCTCTCAGGTGATATTGGGAGATGTCAGGACTGCACCCCAAATCAAGGAGAAAGGAGCTTTTCTTCCACACCCCAGTATTCTCCAGACACACTGGAAGGAAGCTCCCATAATTCCCAGCCAGCACGGTCCATGGGGCTTCTGGGTGTTGCCGTCCAACACATCTGGACAGCACCAGGTTGGGGAAGGCAGGGAGGGAATTATTCTGTGCATGATCTGGGACAACCAAACAGACTGAGAGGCAAAATGCTGTTAGTGGCCAATAGGAAAAGAACAAACAAACTCGAATGCCACAGTTTTTGGCTTCAGGAAAACGTGGTTTGTTACAATTATGTGCAAAATGAGGGTCGGTATGCCTGCTGATGCAGCTGCAATTCACGGGAGACGGGAACTTCCGGGTGCCACTGGCAGCAGGGGCCTCAAGAAAAAGGAGAACTGGCCCCCGTTTTGTGCTACGCCTTCAAGCTGAATTTTCCGGGTGGTACTGGAAGGATAAAGTGTTGGATCTGGAGAAGTATTTCTGTGTTTAACTTGGTTTTACACTTCTCTGTTGTTTTTATGACGAGTTACAGGTGAAAGACAATTTTTGTACGCACACACATGAAAAGGAGGAAAAGCTTTCCAGGGGCTCGGGCTCGGTGCTGGTTTTAAACGCAAAAGCGTAACACATTCCTTTCCTCACAGCCAGTGATTAGAGCATCTTGAGAACAGATGTATCTCCACAACTCCATCTCTCTCTCTCTCTCCCTCTCTCTGCCAATGTGTCTGCACAGGGACGCACCTAGTTCAAGACACCCTACAGAGAAGCAGGGAGAACCGTTTGCTGCCTGTGCAAAGGCATTCGAACAGAAGAAGGGTCAGGCGAGGCCCGGCTAAGGGCCATCTGCCCGGAGAAATCCACGAGCAAGACATGAATGCAGCAGCACCCATGTTCCCCAGCAACTGGAGTGCAGCATAAAGAGCTTCGTCCAACCAGATTCAATATTGCCATTTAAGGCAGGTTGTGAGATTTAGGGAGGGCAAAATATTTGCAGGGTTCCATTAAAATTTTGCATCGTTGCACCATTACGCCAACAAAATTCCATCACCCATCAATGTCCACCCTTTTCTGAGCATTACAATGGAGTTCTCCAATTGAAATCAATCTATTTGATTTCTATTTTCTCCTTTGAGAAAAGGAGGTTTGGTCTTGCTCGATTTTAGGAAAAGTGGTTTTAAAATGTCTGCTAGGCAAAAAGACAACTTTTATGAGAAATGAGAGCACTTTGGTGGCTGGGCAGTACAGAAAATAATTCAAATTGATTAATTAATAAGTGCACCCAAAAATGCTCATGCATTTTCATCCAAACGTTAAAAAATCAGTTTTCAAGGTGAACCAAACTTAAAACTGGAGAAATGCTTGAGATGAGCCGAACTCAAGAGTGGAAAAATGCAGAAGAGTGCAGGGGCTCACTGATCTCTGAATGAGCTTCCGGAGCCCGACCTGCCATCGAGGGAGCCCGAATAGGTCCGCGGCCTGCCGGACTGAGCATTAACAAGGCGCACGGGAAGGATACTGGGTTATGACATTCATGATGAGGTAGAACCACATCGTGGGCAGGCTGAGCCCAAACACCGGCAGCTGGAACGGCTCTGCGGAAGAGGCGAGAATGTGAGAAGGCTCTGAAGATCTTGGGCAGCTGTGTGAAGCGTGACAAGCCCACCCACCCACCCTCCTGCAACATCCTTCTGAGCATGGGAGAGCCATCTAAGAAAGTGGACAAGGCGGGGCTGTCCAGTCCAGTCCAGTCCAGGGCGCCAAATGCAACCGGCATGGACAGCAGATACGGCAACTCAGGGTCCCACGGATGATCATACCCGTTTTTCCTGTCCCCTTCACTGCCAGCTGGTTTGAACAGCTTTTGTCCCTATTCTAGACAGCCAAAAAGTCTTTAAAAGCCCCATCGGTGGGGGTGTTCAAAGATAGGCTGGACATGCACATGGTGGGCATGTTGTGAGCGGAGCCGGCTGGAGCCGGGGGTCAGACTAGATGGCCCAGGAGACCCCTTCTGACCCGCTCTGTTTCTATGTTTCTATGTTTAGCCCAAGCTTTTCCCTTCAGTCCCCCTCCTTCTCCCCCCCACCCCCTCCCAGCACTGGATGCAGTCCCTGAAAAGGCCGCCAACTTGAACGTGGCCCTTGGCTGGAAGAGGCGCCACGCTGCTGGCCAAGCGTTTGTCTTCCCCGCAACCCGAGCAGCAATCGCCTCCTACACGGCCGGATTTGACCCCCGGGCTGAGGCAACAGACCCCTGGGATAGCAGGAAGCTGGGCGGCCAGCTTTGGGTGGGGGGAGCAGGGCGGAAAGGGTCGGCGGCCCGCAGGAGGCGTGGGACTCACCGGACCGGCTGAAGAGCAGAGCGTGCCGGAGGATGTCTGGAGCCAGGAGCAGAAACCCCGGGAGGGGGAGAGCGTGCTGTCGGGAGCAAGGACAGAAGGCACATCAGCAGAGGCCAGGTGGGGCCTGCCCAGGTGCCGGGCACCTGTTAGTGACACACGGGTGCATGAGGGGGTGTCCCAGGGGAGACCTGTTCTCCCCTGCAGAGGAAGGCAGGACATGTTCCAGTAGAGCAATGCTCAGGGAGCCAAGATCCAAGGTGGATGCCAAGGTGGATGCCATCCAACCAGGACCCCCAGGGCATGGAATGGGCTTCCACGGGAGGTGCTGAAGCCCCAGCAGTGAGGGTGTTCAAGGAGAGGCTGGACATGGTGTCCTGCAAGAGCAGGGGGTTGGACTTGATGGCCTTCATGGCCCCTTCCCACTCTATTCTTCTATGATTCTAGGCATGTCGTGAATGGAGCCGGCTGGAGCCGGCTGGAGGCGGGGGTCAGACTAGATGGCCCAGGAGGCCCCTTCTGACTCGCTCGGTTTCTGTGTTTCCATCAGCAGCCTCCTCCTTCTTGGAGCAGGGCTAAGAGTCCATTCAAGAAACGTTCGTCCCAGAGGGTTGTTGGAAGGGCTCTGGGATGCTTTCTAGCCCAACTCCCCCCAAACAACCAAAGCCGGCAATCTGGAGGAAATGCCCCCCAAACCAGCTGCCTGGCCTTAGAAACTCCCTTTCTCTGTAACGTTCCACCAACATCTGCCCACCTGGAGCTGAAGCCCCGGGAATCCAGGCCTTGTGGCCCTTTCTGGGACAGCCCTGCAGGGGCTGGAAGACGGCAGCCGCGTCTTCCTTGCTCTCCGGCCATCGCTTCTCCAGGCCGGAGACGCCCGTGTCTTCCAGCCCGTTCCTTTCAGGGGACCTCTTCCCTCCTTTCTGCCTCTCTGTCTACCTACGTACCTCTCCCAAGTGGCCCCCAGCCTTCCTCAAGTGCAGCACCCACAACTGGACACACAGCTAAGCACTGATGCATCCACCCGATGGAGTCTGATCAGAGAACTGCTACTGAAACAATGGTTTTGAAACAAAACACACACCTTCCATTTGGAAGGGCCATGGATGCAGCTTTTATTTGCAAAGTGCAATTTTAGATGTGCCCAGCCGTTGTAACTGAGTGGCCTAGCTCATCCCTCCCCAGACTGGTCCTGGGGATGCTGGGGATTGTAGTCCAACACACCGAGAGGGTACCAAGTTGGGAAGGGCTGGAGCGTTTGAAGACTTGGTAGCAGGTACAAGATGGTCAGATCGCACAACCCCAATTCTGGCCTGCTTGCGTTGGCTGCCTAGATTCTTTCGAGTCCAGTTCAAGGTGCTATTTATTGAAGGCCCTCACTGCTTGGGAGCACGGTATCTGACAGCGCGCCACTCCCGAGGGCGAGCGACCCAGACAGTGCGATCAGAATCTGTCGCCCGCCTCCGACTGCCGCTTCCAAGGGAGGCCCAGTTGCTGGCCACAAGAAGGGCCTCTTCAGTGGTGGCCCCCCGTTGCGGAACAAGCTCTCCAGAGGCCCAAGACGCACCAACCACAGCATCCTTTCAACACCAGATTAAGACTGTCCTCTATTGCCAGGCACTCAATCAGTTTCCTGGGGCTTCCTTAGCTGCTTTAAAAGATTATCTTATTAATTCGTATCGCCTATTGCAATGTTTTGTGTGTGTTATAATTTGGTTTTAAATTTCGTATGATGAGCTTTATATTATTTTTTAAATATCGTTCTAGAGCATATCTTTATGTGCTGCAAACCACCTAGAGGGCTCCGGCTTCACGCAAGCCATTCCACCGTAGCTGCTTCAAAGCCTGCAGCAACGCAGGCAAGGAAAGCGTCACCACTTCGCTCCACGGAATATTTAAGGTCAGCCCCTCACCTGTGACCCCCCCCCCACTTAAATCCCCCCAATTTTAATCGTGCATCTGAACCGACAGGTCTGAAAGCGTGACGGAATTGCTTTACGTGGCTAAAAAGCCACGTCAGGGAGAGGGGGGGGTCCGACTCCCTCCCCATCAGAAGCACGGCAGCCGCTTACGTTGTAGAAGAGAGCTTCCTTGGAGTGCTTGCCAAAGTCCGCGTAGAGGGTCTCCTGGAAGATCCCCATCCGGGCCGACATGAGAAGGGCGAAGGTCAGCGCCGCGATACCTGGAGCAGAAGTGGCTCGAATGGGGCCGGCTTGCCGGCTGCTCCCACAGCTTCCAGCGGACCCCCTTCCCCCTCCCCACGGCTAGCGAAAACAGCGCATGTGCTTGCGCATGTGCCCCCAAGCGCCATTTCTTGCGGGGAAGGCGGGGTGCGACTCAAAGGGATAAATTCTGGGAAGGTGCAATATTGATAAGCGATTATTTTGTGGCCATGACAGCGCTTTCAATGTGCACTACACTGGGGTGCGTTCGGGGACAACGAGCCTAAATTATCCGCAGAACGTAGGATGAATAATTTAGGATAGGGTTGTGAGCAGCAGGCTGAAATATGGCTCTCTGGCGCTCGGCGGACCCTGTTCCAAGGAACGGAGGTGGATGCGCAATATCTCCGCACCTTCGTGTGGGGGGGGGGCGTTACCAACCTAGCAGCCACCAGATGAAGGCAGAGACGCTCTCTTCATCTTCGCTTGGGTTCGGCGCAGACGTCTAAAGAAGCAAAATCAGGAAAAGGAGAGAACGTCAGGCCCTGCAGCTTTGCATTTACGCAGCGTGTGTTCTTGTAAAATGCTTCTTGGAAAAGGCCTGCATGTCCATGAAGGGCTCGATATTGGGGGGAGAAACGGCGTGTCTTGCAACATGGGGGGGCGCCTTCCCTGATGCCGGCTGCAGCAGAGACTGCCTCTGCACCACCAGTCAGGCAGGGCCTGGGACAATTTAAACTAGCTAAATGTAAGGAATTGCAAAGTAGCGGTGCTCGCTCTTCTCTGCCACTGGCAAAGAGAAATTAAAGCAAGCTCCCACTCCTTCCCTTCCTTTTCGGTTTAAAACACGCAGAAAAGAGAGGCGGCGGCCATGCCTGCAAAGAGGCTGCAAAGAGGCCAAAGGGTGCTGGCCGGCCTGGGCTGGGCCGCAGGGAGGCGCAGGGGCCGGTGGGACTGGCTTCACCCAGCGAGAAGACGCGGGGGGGGGGGGGGGGGGGGTGGGGCGGGCCCCCCCTCTGGGGGGGGGGGGGGGGGGGGGGGAGCAGCGCTTGGGCCCTGCCTGCTTTAGGCGAGGGGGCTGGGCAGCGCTGCTCCTGGCTGTGGGTGGTGCCCTGGAGATGGGATGCGAGTGCAGAGCTCCTGGGAGAGGGGCAGGGCACAGGGCCGTCCTTACCACTTGCTTGGCAGACATGAAGGTGCAGGTGAAGATCCCCAGGGACACCAAGGCGATGGAGGTGTATTTGGAGACGGTGTACCTGTGCAAGGCAGAGAGAGGTTCAGCAGGAAAGGCCAAGACAGAGCCCTGCAGCGAGCCTTGGCTCTGTCCCACACACTGCACAGACTGGCAGTGTGTGGGACAGAGCACAGACTGACACTGCACAGACTGACAGTGTGTGGGAAGCTTGGACTACAGCTCCCACCACCTCCACTGGCCATGCTGATAGGGGATGATGGGAGTCCTGGTCCCGCATCTCTGGAGAGTGGCCGGTTGGAGAATGCTGGCTTTGAGAATCACCATTTTCACTTAAGAAAGAAGAGCAAGATTAAAGCGGAGGGGCACTTTCCTAGTCCTCATGGTTGGGTGGACACCATGTATTTAGAGCAGTGCTTAAAACACCAGCACAGTGATTTAAAGAGCGCCTTTGAAGCGTGGGATGCTCCTGACGGCAACCCCGCAAAGTCCCGCAACCCCCGCACTGTGGGCGGAAGGCGGGGGGCAGGTGCTGAGGCCAGAGCAAGGTTTGCCTACGGTCAGTGGAGGACGAATTTGTGGCACTGCCTCACGCCTGCGACTTCCCACTCGCAGCCGAGTCTCTTGGGAATCACGGGGGCTGGGGAAGCCCAGCGGCCAGCCCCTCCTCGTGCCTCCCTCCCAGTTCCAGCTCACCGCTAGGCCATCTGCAGGCACGGCCCAAGCCTGTCCTTTGCAGATGACCTCAGGACCGAGCCCAGGATGGGACGCTCGAAGGAGCAGTGACTGGCAGCGGAAAGCCCGACGAGCTCCTGGGCCCACACGGGGCCCTCCTGGCCCACCGCCGGCTGCTCCCGGAGGCCTTCCCAGCGCCCGGCGTGTCAAGCCGCCCAGTCCATCCACGACAGCAGAGGACTTGCGTCCATTCAGGACCAAGGAGAGAGGGCTTTGCAGAGAAGGTGCTCGTTCTAGCGAGGCCGGGCCTCGGCACTTGACCTTTGGGTCTTCCTTCGCTTCTGTGCCCCACGGCAGCATTCAAACCTGGGCACCCCACAGCGGGCTCTCCCAGCAGTGCCGCTCCTCGCTTAGCAGGTGCAACCTTATCCCCAGACTGTTTCACAGACAACAACACAAAGCCAGCTCACCTTTTCTTCAGGATGATGATACCCAGAGCCATGTTTGCTATCAGAGATCCCTGCAGGGAAACGGAGAGAAGCACAGGCAAGGGAGGTCAGTGGCGACTGCAAGCGGGCAAAATGCCCGCCGGTTTGTTTGCTCACTCCGTGTTTATCTTTCCTTTCCTCCAAGGAGCCCGGCGGGGTGGAAGGAGCACAGCGGGCACTGGAAGTGTCTCTGGACCAGCCAGACTCTCAGCCCAGCCTACCTCACAGGGTTGTTGTGAGGACAACACCGAGAGGAGGAGCAGGAGGAGAATTATACAAGCTGCCTCGAGCTCCTTGGAAAGGAGAAAAGGTGAGATATAAATGTACTGAATACATGAAAGGCTCAAGACGGAACTCACCGATCGAAATATCATGTGCAGCGGCATTGCAATGTTCAAGTTGAGTGCGTAGTTGTTCACCACGCTGACCGTGAAGAACATGGCCACCATGATCAGGTAGTACCTGCCAAAAGAGCCCCAAAGCATTTGCCCCCAGGGCCGGAAAAGAGCAGCGATGCAGCTTTCCCAAAGGGGCCCTGAATCAGACAGTTTTGGCAAAGCTTTTCACAGCCCAAGGCGAACTGAGACTCACTCCACCCAGTAAATGAAACCTGCATGAAAGAAGCTGGCCGTGCCAGTTTTATTTGCTTTAGAAATCTCTGATTTCACCCCCGCCCCGTGTCCAAAGGTAAATCAATGGAAATATGTGATTAGGGGAGGTGGATAACAAGCGTGAACCTTTGCATGAGAAATATTTTTATTGGAGTAATTGCAAATGTTTTTACAGGCATGACAATCCTATTTTGGACTGTATCCAGTGTTTGTCTTACCCGGAGCGAGACTTAAGTTAGTTAACTCAGATACTATGTCTTACAGCCATAGTAAAAGAGGGGAAAAAAGGAAATCTTAACAAAACCTGTGAAGATACAAATGGCAAAATCTTAGGCAGGTTTAAACAGACAAAGGCCTACAAGCCCCAGCTGAGCTGGCTGGAGCACGTGGGAATTTTTCTGTCTTTTTCTGTCTAAACTTGCACATGGCTGAACCTCAAGTTTAGGCTGCAGTCCAAAGCACACTTAATAAGCCTGAAAGTACGCAAGGAAGACTTGCTTCTGCATTGCATATGGGGCACTGCACTGTCTGTGTGTCTGCACACAAGCAAGCGTGCAATCCTGTATATATCTGGACATGGCTGCAAGTTGCAGGTCGCTGTTCTGACCAAGCAAGCAGAAACTGGTGCCATAAAAGTGCTTTCAGGACTGACACCTGAAAAATGTTAATTCTAATTCTGATTTTAGATGCAACTGCTACAATTTCCAGTGTGACTGATTTTGGTTGCAATTTTTATTATAAAGCTATGCACTTGCCCGGGGGGAAACACGGCCATGGAAATTTCCTGCAGAAATTTTTCCACTCTGCATCACGGAGGTCAGGAAGAAAGGTGATTTCCCTGGGAGAGATTTTAGGCCAAGTGCAGGTGAGAGTCTCAGGTGCCCTCCAGCACAGAGAGAAACTGTACCATCAACGGCACCCCCTATAAAGATCGGCTCCACCATACCTGATCGGGATTGCAGGCCGTTTCCTCCCAAAGTTTGCTTCGAAGATGAAACCTTCCATGGCGATGAAGAAGAACTGGGCGAACGTTACTAAGTTCCCACATCCTGGAAATTCCCTGCAGATTTGAGCGGGAAAGGGAAGGGCAGGGGATGGGGAAGAAGAGAAGGACGAAGGATGCATGAAAACACTTGCGACTGCCGGACGCCATCCCAGAACAGCACATAAAATAATCAAGGTATAACATAAATTGGGCTGAAAACTGGTTTTGAATTCCCCTGGGCCTGCAATGACATTTTGGCCAAGATGACTCGGTAGCCCAGATAAATTAGTCTCTGTGCACAGGGAAAAGAATAACATGAGAAGCGGGACCCAAAAGTAAGAGGGACACTGGAAACAGGTCCACCAAGAAAGACAGAGAGAAACAAGCTGGTAATGGAAACTATTGGCCAGAACATTTCTAGCTGCTTGGAGAAATTACTTAACGAGGGATTTATGTGTGGCCAGCACTGGATGCACGTCATGTGACCTGCAAGCCGCACGGCCCCAGAGATGCGATTTTGCAGAGAAACAAGGGATGGTGGGAAAGGGATGCCGGGCTTCCCGTGGGCCCCCTAAGCGTCCAAACATCTGGCCGTGTCAGGGTGCTGCTGGGGGGAAGGTTTGCGTCCCAGGGGGATCACGTCAGTCTGCTGCACAGAGCGGGCTCGTCAAGACCAAAAGGGAATTCTTCTCTTTCCAAAGAGCAAATTCGGGGAGCTGAAGGGAATCAAAGACCTTTCTGCAGCCATGCAGCCACCGTGGCTAGGAAGCACCCAAAACTGGAGCTGCAGCGCACGGGCTGGGGAGAGAACCCAGCAAGCGGCCCTCCCGGCTGCCTCCACGCCAGCCCCGGGCGCAGGCTTCATTTTATTTATTTATTTAGAATATCTACATGCTGTCCTTTCTCAGAGCCTCAGGATGGCTTACATACATACATAAAATAACAACAACAACAACAACAATAATAATAATATATAAAACATGATACAAATAAAATTTCAGATCCACCCTGGCTGCAGATTAAAACAAACATAGTTAATATTAAAAGTTATTAAAATATTGCTGCACTAAAAAGGTCTTCGCCTGGCGCTGAAACACAAACAACGACGGCGCCAGGCGGGCCTCTCTGGGGAGCGCGTTCCATAGGCGGGCGCCACCACAGAGAAAGCCCTTAGCGACAGCAGGGGGAGACACGACTCCCCGCTCTCGCTCTGCATCATCAGACCGCCCGAGAGAGCCACCGATGGCCACAGGTGCCCGTACAGAAGCACCCGCCTTTGATTCGCCGCTATCGCTGGCATCCCGTTGCAGGACAGCCGTTCGGCGCCTCCCAGAAAACAGGAGCGCTCTCGAGGTGCTGATGCAGCATAATTGTTATTATTACACCGCGTTTACATCCCACCTGTTTCCTCTCGTGAGGAGCTCCAGCCAGCTCCTGTAGCCCCACTGTACCATCAGAACAACACCCCTGCAAGGGAGGTCAGGCTGGGAGGGAGTGACTGACCCAGAAAAGGAGCTCGAGGGCCAAGTGGGGGCCAGAGCCCGGATCTCCCAGGACCCCCTCGGGCACTGCCACCCCGCTGCCTCCCCGGCTTAAAGCTACTTTCCCTCATCTAATAACACACCCTACTGGAACCTGCTGGAAAGTCAGCTGAGACAAATTAGACATGCTGGCTGGGGATGGTGGGAGCTGCAGGCCAACACAGCTGTTTGCAGGGGGCTACTTAAGTCTAAATTGGTACGCAACTGTGCCGGGGATCAAGCCTTCGCTCTCATGGGTCACTGGAAGTTCCAGGAGTGCCGAAAATAGCCCTGAGCCAGCCTTAAAACTTCCAGCCCCGATCTGGTGGGCTGGAATTTCCGCAGACTATATTATATCAAGCTGTAATACGAGTCTTCCCTGCAGAAATTTAGGTGCACTTAAAGGTGCAGAAATGTACACCTGGTATTTTACTCCCTTGCTATTGTCTGTCTGCATTAAACAGCCATTCCTTTTGTGCCCAACCATCGTTCAAATAATCACCAAGCCTATTTCCCCTGTAACTGCAATTTTCCCATGTCATCACTGCTTTTTTCCTTCACCAGTACAAACGATCACTTCCACTTCCTGCATCTTCCATGATCCATTCTTACAACATGAGCGTTTGCTGATCTGATCGTCACCCTTTCACCTCAGACCTTTGCCCTGCCTCCCTGCTGTATTTTTTAAATTAATTGCTGTAATCAGTTTCAAATGAAAGTTCTCATTGGGCCTTCCCAGCACAGCCCTGCTGCCACACTGAAGCACTGAAAAAACAACATTTTTGAGAATATGGTTTGTCTACCAGCACATTGGAATCCTCGTCCTCCACCAAGGTGCTCTTACATGCGTCTGTGCAAGAGTTTTTAACAGTTAACATATAACCAATATGTGTGCAAAGATTAGCCCTGCTGGTAGACTATGCCAAAGTCCAGCCAACCTTCTGGAGTCCTTCGCAAGGATGCCACCGACCAAAACGTCCCAGCTGGGTGGTCCACCAGAGAACGGCCATCTTTTGTGGGCTCACCCGAGCACCAAATGACCTGCCTCCTTCCCCTTTCCTTACTAGCACACAACACAGAAACAGAAACCGAGCGAGTCAGAAGGGACCTCCTGGGCCATCTAGTCTGACCCCCGGCTCCAGCTGGCTCTGCTCAAGGCATGCCCACCATGTGCATGTCCAGCCAATCCTTGAACACCCTCACCAAGGGGCTCCAACAACCTAACCTGTCTTTTATTTAAAAAGCAAAGGCCCATGTTAGCCACAAGAAAAACAGATCCAAAATCCTTATTAGTAAAATACTTTTATTACGCCAAGCTAGTCAACATCATTGCGTTGGGGTCAACATCTTGCCAAATGAAGAGACCTCAAAACCTTCACAAGCCTGCACACTCCGTGGTTTTTTTGGTTGGCCCAAGAAAGGTATTAGCTTCATATGGATCTGAGTGCTATTTAGAATTCATACCCCACCATATGCTGCTGAGGAGGCTATTTAGCACAGCAAAGAACAAGCTGAAGCGATTAAAGGGAACATTAAAGACCCATGAGCGGAAGCCGATGCAAGGATGAGCAAAAGAGGTTGGAGGCACCATGCAATATCTGAATGCCTTCTGGAATTAAGGTGTTTTACGGTCCCCCTAAAACGGCAGTGGAGTTGGCATTTTACCGTCTCTGCGATGGGAGTTCCATGGCCCCAAATGTCACCAGGCCACTCACTCTTCTCCCATCCCATCCACCAGCCACCCTTCACCAGAAGACCCATGCAGTGAGTCTTGCAGCTGGCTGGCAGGTTATCTGGCCAGGTGTGTCAGAGGTCTCCCTGCTCCAGGTGCAGCTGTGATGGATGAACCAGAATGGCAGTGACAAAAGGCCCCTGTGGCACCAGCGGACCAACAATCGCCAAGCGATCCAAGTCCCCCAGCGGCGTCTTCAGAGGGTTCACAGAGATGAGGGTGGGCACTCGGTGGCCTGCCAGGTGTTTGGGCTTATATCCCCCAAGATCCTCCATCATTGGCTATGTTGGTGAAGACTGAGAGGACGCCTAAATATCTTGGAGCACCCCTGGGGCAGGTGTTTGAGAAAGCACCGGGCACCAAAGAGGGGCCACTGTGGCGTTCCCCAGAGCATGTGGGACCTGCCCCCAGGTGTGATGCCTCCAGCCCTGACTTAGCCAAATGGGCCCCAGAGATGCCATAGGGCCAGTCCAGAATTCAACCAGAAGGCCCAGCGGTCAGTGGGGACACACACCTCGCGCCCATGTCAAAATGCCCCCTCTCAGAACACGCGGCCCCTCCTCCAAAGAGCTCGTCCGTCAAGGTGCTTCCACCGCCAGACTCGGACCCGGTGTCCTCAGACCCACGCGGCCGGCTCCATCCCCCCCAGACGGAGCCTACGGCCTGCACGGACAGGGGCCCCGGCGCGCACCCAGCGCCAGCCACCCCTGTGCGGGTCCAAGGCACGCGAGCGCGGCGGATGCGCGGGCCCCACCGTTCCAGGGCTGCCTCCGCCGTCACCCCTCCACGCGTGGGTCACCTGTCCCCACGAAGCACCGTTCAGCCCCCGGCAAACGCCCGCAGTGCCCCCGCCCAGGTCTCCGCCACCTGCCCGGCCCGGCCCGGCCCTCCTTCGCCTGCCCACGACACCTTCGCAGGCCCCCTCGGCACTCCGGGAGGTGCAGGTGCTTCGACGGGGCAGTCCCGGCCGGCGCCACCCGAGGCGAGCCGCAACGTCCGCGCAGGTACCGACGGCCCGGCACGGCTCCAGCGCCCGCCGCCCGGCGCCGCAGCGGGGAGCGTGTGCGCGCAGGGTGCCGCCGGGGCACGTGCCGGGGGACGGCCCAGGCGGCGGCCGCGGCGGAACTGCGAGGGTGACCCCGGCGGCGCGGCCGGCGGGCTGCGGGGTGACTCGCCGGGGAGCCGGCGCAGGCCGGGCTGCCCCCGCGCGGACGCCGGCAGCCCGCCGCCCCCCGGGCCTCACCTAACCAGCAGCTCCAGGAAGACCACGTTGCTGCAGCAGCCGCCGAAGACCAGCCCCACGGCCAGCCCGGGATGCATCCTCCCGACCGCGCGGAGCCGGCACTCGGGCGGGGCGGGGCGGGGCGGCGCCTCCGCTGCCCGCGCGTGTCCCCTCCCGCCTTCCGTCCGCGGCCGTAGTTCCCGGGCCTCCGCTCCCGACGCCGGCCTACGGCTCTCCGGCACAGCCTGGACTACGGCTCCCAGGAAGCCCCGCGCCGCCGGCGCCGCCTGGCGCACGTGGCCGTCTCCTGCCGGCTGCCCGGGCGGAGTCCCCAAAGGGCTTCTAGGAGTTGTAGTTCTGCCGTCTCGGCCTGGGCGGCGGCTTCTCCATAGGGACTGGCCGCTTGTTTGCAGAAACAAACCAGAGGCGGCGGTCGCCAAGTCACCGGCCTTGGAGGAGGCTTCGGTTGCAGCAGGTAAAATAATGAAGATAATGGTTTTAATTATTTTAATTAAAATAAATTCATTTTATTTTAAATTAAATAATCTAACCAATTTAATTAAATAAATTTAAGTTAAATATTAAATTATTATTTAAATAAATAATGCAGATAAATTAATTTAAATTAAATGTTTAAGATTGATTTGTTTTCTGTCCAGTTATTTTTTTGTTGTTCAGCAAACTTGCAACTCTCCATGAGATTTTACTCTCTCATTTCACGTACACAAAAGTACTTATGATCATTATTGTTCTACAAGTATATTTTTACTTCTCTTGCAAGGACCCTTAGGCAGCTTACAGTCCTCTTGCTTGTCTGCATGTTATCCTCACAACGACCCTGTGAGGTGGATCAGGCTGAAAGTCAGTGACTGGCCCAAAAGCATCCAGAGGGTGAGTTGTAGGACTTTTTTCTGTCCGAATCTGCATCAGATCGCACCTCGAGTAGGACCACTGGTGTCAGCAACTCTTAAGTGTGACTTTCAGGGCTCCTGGATGGGTCTCCTTTTTTCTTACGGGGTCACAGGCGGTGTAAGTCCATGCCCGCTTACCCTGCGTTCAGGGGAGCTCACTTCCAAGTAAGACTGCACAAGATTGCAGGCAAAGAGTTGCATCGCTTCACCTTTGCGCAGAACTAAGGGCTGCCGGTGCCGGTGGCGCTTACACCCATGTAAATGCACACACCAGTGCAGCCTTGCTCAGGAGGAAGCCCCAGGGACCTCAGCGCAGCATCCCGTGAGGTCCCCTGGGCCCGATCGCCCCTGAGTCATCGGGCCCACTCTGCTCCCTGGTATACCGGCAAGCTGGGGTGGCTGGGACCAGCGCCACGCTGGCGCACGGCAAAAGATGGGTAGCGAACGTGTCGCGGCGCACACAACCTTGCGATGCGGGCAGCAGAGGAGTGTTGCTTGGCGCCTCTCTTGCGCCCCTGGGCAGCCCTGCTGGGACCCTTTCGCGCTGCGCATCAGAGGGCAAACTCGCTTGCCCGCCCCGCACCGGTGGCGCTGCCGTCAGCTCGGCTCCCAGCAAGGGGCCTGGCCAGACCCTCTTCTTGATGCTGTGGGATCTGTTTCAGGCCTTGCAGCCCGAGAATGTGGACACGGTGCTTGCGGCAGCCGTCCGGCTCTGCTCATGCAAGTCCCAACATTTTATTTATATTTATATTGCGATTTATATCCTGCCTTTTTCTACAAAGGCTCAAGGCAGCTTACATCATTCTCCTCCTCCATCTTATCCCCACAACAGCAACCCTGTGAGGTAGGTTGGGCTGAGAGTCTGTGACTGGCCCGAAGTCACCCAGTCGACTCCGTGGCTGAGCGGGGACTCGAACCCGCATCGTCTGAGTCCCAGAACACCCTCACTGATGGGGCCCCAGTCTTGGAAGCCCACTCCGTATTGTAGGGGTCCTAACCGTCAGGATGTACATCCTGACATCCAGCTGCAGCCCGGTCCTTGAGCTTTGCCCCATTGGAGCACATCCTGTCCTCCCCTGCAGGAAAGAACAACTCACCGCCCCCCTCCACCATGACATCCCCTCACGTACCTACAAGCCGCTAAAGGATCCCCAGGGAGTCTGGCTGAAAAGACCCAGTTCCCTCCATCTCTCCTCGTATGGCCTCCCTCCCAGCCCGGCTACCATGCTTGTGACCCAGCCCTGGACCGATTCTAACCCAGCTACGCCTCTCCTATAATGTGGAGGCCAGAAGTGGATGCAGGACTCCAGTTGCGGGCGCACTAGAGTCATGTAGAGTGGTAGTAACACCTCTCTCGATCTGGAAGCCACACTTCTGGCTATGCAACCAAGGGTGGCATTCGCCCTCTTGGCCACCACATCACGCTGCTGGCTCATGTTCAGCCTGCAGTCAACCAGCACCCTGAGGTCCCTTTCACAAGCACTGCTCTCCAGCCACTTGTCCCCCGTCCCGTACCTGTGGCACCTGTTCCTGTTTCCCACACGCAAGACGAGCGCATCAGCTTTGGATGCCACGGATCATGCCATCCTCGTGGGTGGATGCTGTGGAGCCTCGGGTTCCCATGGCCCCAGGACCAAGCCCCAGGTTCCCTTAGTTTCAGTCTGACCCCCGGAGTCAGTTCCAGAAAGTAACTGGAAGGGCACTGCAGTCCAGAAGACGCTTGATTCTTGAGGAGGCAAGCGTCACGATGCGCCCTTTTCTGCCCATGCTGCATTTTCTGGACTTTAGTAACCTGGGCCTTGGTTAAGGACAGGGGTTCTTCTCTGAATGCATCAGCTTATCAGAAAATACGGAGTTAGAAGGCGGTACCCCCTGGAATGGAGGGTGGAAGGACCTGGGTACCGAAAGTTAGCTGCCGTCTCCTCACCCTGGCCACCTCCAAGCCCGCACAAGCAAGCCAATCGATCACAACACCAGGAATTAATTGGGAGATCCTTTTAAGCTGCACGGAGATTATGAGAGAATTAAGTATATACTGTAAGTCCCAAGATTGGCGCAGAGGGGGTACCTCGACGCAGGCTGAAGACCGTGCGGGAATCTGAAATGTCACTACATTTATTTATCATAGCTATTCCAAGCATTAAGGGGATTATCACCTGTTGTCCTTCCGTGGTATCAGTCCAGTGAAGCTCCCCAAAACCCCCAACTCTGACTGAGCTAAAGCACGTAGCGCAACGCAGCTGCCTTTGTGATCATATGGTCATAAATCTGTCATCTTTTCATTCCAGATTTTTAAAAGTTGTACCTGTGCAATAAAGATGTGGCGAGGATAATAGGCAACAAAAAGAACCATAAACCGCCAAAACGTTTGTGTGTGCAGCTTCCTCCATATTCAGCTCTCGTATAAAAAGAGCCGCATGTGGTCCATTTAACCACTGCAAAGCGTCACTTCCTTGCATGTCGCAGGACGTGCTCTTTAACCCGATGCGCTCATGCTGCTTCCGCCGTTATCTTCCGGATCTCCTGAGAATGATTTCAGTAGTTTTCAAGATCTGCTTCCGTATGTGTTCGGTGTGTGCTGCTGCTCGGAGTTTCTCCGTCTCCGCTGGCTGGGGATCCCGGAGACAGACGTGGAAGTGTCGCTGTGGGTTAGCCGGCAGCCCTCCTCGTTCTTGGCCAGGTTCAAGGCGTGGCTTCCTCCAGGTCCCGTCAATGCTCCTGCATCCCAGGGAAGAACCTCTTGGCTGGCAAACGGGTGGCGAATGACCAGCAGTCCAAGGACTTACGGGGTTCACAAGGAGCCACCTTGCCCCCAGCGTGCTTTAGCGCCTCTGTGAAGCTGCAGGGGGTGGACATGGGGGGGTCTGGAGGCAAGCGCCAGCAGTACCCTGGTCGTACTCGCCTCCGTCTCTCTCTGGCAGCTGGACTGGGAGAGGTCCTGCCCGTCCAAGAGCCATGCCTGGACTCAGTCCTCCAGCGATGGCCTCGCGTGGACCCCTCTGTGATGCAGGCACTGCGAACCCTGAGCCTGGATCGCCCCGGCGGGCCCTGGGGGGGCTGCCCTGGGGAGCACGGCCCGGCTGCTCTGGGGGCGGCCTTTTCGGCACACAACTCTTTGCGGAGGGAACTGCACTGGCCGCCTGAGGACCAGGCTGAAGGTTCTCGGAGAGAGCACAGGGCTCTGGATGAAATGTGAGAGAGCGTCTCCTCCTTCCCCAGCTGGCCCATCACAGGCGTCACTGGAGGCCGTTCCTCTGCTGGTCCCACTTGGAGCCCTGACCCCCTCGGAGTCTGCTGGAGGAAGAGCCTTCGCTGTGGTGGCCCCATTTCAATGGAAGTTGCTGCCTCAGGAGGTCAGGGAGGCTCCAAGTCTCTCCTGTTCTTCACCCCTGTTGAAGACATCGTTGTTTTTCTGGCTTACCAACCATGGCCTTGTTACCCTGTTCTGAATGTATTATTCTTTCAACTCCTTCAGATGTTTATGGTCCACTGCTCTGGAGTCTGCTTAGCACATGACACAACAACCCACAGTGGGCAGTGAACCAGTGAGACTGAGGGAACTGGGCCTGTTCAGCCTCGAGAAGAGAAGACCGAGGGGGGACATGAGATCCCTCTAGAAGGACCTCCAAGGCTGCCACAAAGAGGAAGGCCAAGACCTCTTCTTGCGGTTCTTCCCAGGTCTGCTCTGGCCACCACCGTGCCAGCTACCCAAAAGTGCCCAAGCAACACTCCCCCCCGCCCCCCAAGCTCCCTGCCGCAATACTGAGCCATCCTCCACTGAATCCATGCTGAAGCTTTGCTCAAGCTTAAGCAAGAGAAGCCTGAATCGTGATTGTGGAGCTGGTCCCTCGGGCGCTGCCTGGAGGACAGAAGGCCAGCGAGGGCGTGAACAGCCCGTGGTGAGCCTGGCCCTCCGTCAGACGTCCTGTGGGTGCTCCTCCAAGTGCCCCACCCTCCCTGGCTTGTTTCCAGGGCGGTGGCATGATGTGTGAACCGGCCTCCTGCGCCCACGTAGGCCGACGTCTCCATTTTGACTGGCAGTGGCTCTTCAGCCATCTCGGGAGAAACGGGGGCTTGGCCGTCACCGGCCCCCCGGGCCATTTGATTGGAGCGGCTGGAACCTGAACGGGGGGCCTTTGGGAGCCAGCAAGAGCGTTGCTGCTGAGCCGCGGAGCTTCTCCTCCGAA